ATCATTATTATCTTTTTCAAGATAAAGATTCCAGCCCTCATAGAAATCTCGAGCCGTCAAATTGCATATTGCTGTTCCTGCAGAATGGGGCGATTCACCTTAGTGTCCACCACCATATCTACTAACCCACAATGGAACTACACTCTGTTGATACTCTAACCTACAGCTGAGAGCTATTTTTATCACATGTGAGAGGAAGGTATCCTCTGTAACACTTTTCTACAATATTTATGCATTTTTTCATAAATATATGTATTCCATACACAAAAGTTCTCCCTTTATGTGATTGGTGCGTTCGAGGTTATCCTCTGATTGGTTGTTAGTGGTGCTTAAAGTTTAACTTTGCCGATACTTTCAGAAAGCTGTTCAGAAAGAACTAGATAGAGTAACTGCATGGTCCTCCACATGAAACCTAAAATTCAACCTTAAAAAATGTGGTTGGATGTGTTTCGATGCACCCTCAATGAATATCAAACTGCTACTTGAATCTATTGACTTGCCTAAACTCCAAAGTGTTGTTGACCTAGGACTCAGGTACTCTAGTGACCTGACCACAACTACGAAGCGAAACTTATATTGTATAAAACATGTGTCAGACCACTACTTGAATATTATCCATTTATTCTCAGCAGCACTCGCGTAAGTGACAAACTTAAAATAGAATGTGTCCAACGATACTTCACGTCTCAACTACTAGGATTTGACCGCGAAAAGGACTACACATCAAGGTGTATAACTCTAGGTATCGACCCACTCTGGATGAGACGACTAAGCATTAACCTAACATTCTTCTTTAAAGTCTTGCATGAAATATCATTCTTAGACAGTAAGGAGATACAAATCTCACCGGAAGGCTCCTACGACCTGAGTAACCAAACGTGCAAAGTATCTAGGAGAAACTGTAAGACAGCGCTCCGTGCAAACTTCTTCATAGTCATGTACTCTAAGATCTGGAACAGTTTACCCCTAGAAATAAGGACCTGTCACTCTATTATAACCTTCAAACGCTTGCTATATAAACTGTTTCATCCCAATGACTATGCAAACCAGACCGAACCACTTATTTCTAAAACGCATCAGCTATTAGAACACTATAACGCTTAGACTCAGTAATATATATTATGACGCCAGATAAAGACTGTTATGTATGTGAATATGAGGACCTTGTAGACTACGAGCGAATCTAACTAATGCGCTGGCTAATCTGTCTTAATCGCACGTCAACAACAACAACAATAATACCGCCGGGCACGCAAGACAAATAAAAGAGAAGACTGGACGTTGATATGAGAGCTTTTACTGTCTCAAACAACAGTCGAAAATGTTAAACAACAACTCCGTATTTATACAATTAGAAAAATCAATGTCACATTTTAAAAATATTAACAAACCCTGGGAATTCAGTAATTTAAATCAATAATCACGCAGATGCGTGAAATCACTGATTATGCTAGTGTGTGAAATAAATAATGAATATTAATGATTCACCTGCGTATATAAAGACTTCGCAAAAACTCATGAAAAACACAACTAGTATATAGGTCGGTGTTTACTATACTGTGATATGCAATCGACATAAACATTTATATATGCATAAAATATTAATGTTCCTTTCATGTTCACATACTTTCTCTTTCTGGTATTCTGCTGCTGAGTCTTCACTTCTATTTACCTTCTGGTCGAGGTCGAACAACCCTACATTTAAACTGAAATGAAGCTAGACTCCAGACCATTTAAGTAAATTCACACGTCTCCACTCAGTATACTAGCTCATAACCACTCAAAGTCCGTGAACGTTCTCGTTCTGCCATTTGATAACACTGGCCAATATTCTGTACAAGGAGTTTTCATGATTTGAAATAAAGAAGCAACTGGTTTTCAAACAGTTTTCAATGTCTTACTCAACTTACGTGTACAGTCTGTCAAGCATATAAAATGAAGCCAATGGAGAATTCTGGATTCGACCGCGGCCCTATTTGATACAATAAAACAATCCAACATAACCTTATCTAGTTTTCGTAACCAAGATCAAATTTCTTTCCTGTCATAAAATTACGATAAGACTGCTGAAAAATGGAATAAATACATCACTGATTTCAAAATAATACATCAATAAACTTTAACTCAAGGATGCTGTTCACAACAAAGTTATATAGGAGAAGTGACTTCAAGCTTTATTTTTCCCAGATGTTTGTATTACATTCATCTGATGTCTGGGTTTTTGTTAATGCGAAGACAATATTTCTATATCTCTTTATGTGTTACACAGACAGACTATGTTGCAGACTGTTCCGACTGACTGTAATGTCAGAAAGAACAAACAAACTGTAAATTCAGCATACATCGAAAAATGTGTAATTTATATAATAACCTATCCATGCCTGTAAAATTGGTATGTTCCTGCATAAACGAGAATAAATATATATTATTAATTTCATTCACCACGCTGTTACCAATTGCTTCATAGTTTATACATCAACTAGTACACAACAGTTACTGTCTGCGTACCGATTTAGCTGTCAAGAGGAAGTCTTCCAAAACCACTGAACAGGACATTGTTTATACTGCGTCTTCAGCCTAGGCTAAACCACAAACGCTGTGAGATTCCGGCAGACGTTTGCTATTAAAAGTAAAGGAGACTACATGACATGCACACAGTGGAAAGAAATCCCAGGACTAACAGTATGAGCAATGGATTCGTCGAACACTATTTCTAGACTTTGGAACTGTAATTCTCTGTCATGTTTTTCTTTGTGTTTTGAAGTTACAGTCCTCTTGATCCCCTGTTAGAGACGCTTTTGCTCCAGACACGTTGGTCATCAGAGAATGACAACGTTATATATTCTGTTAGACGGTCGTCGTGCCCAATACTGGAATAAAGACTGACGTGCCCATGTTAGGCTTAGAAACTCAATCTGCACATGCAGACGGGAGCCATGTGCCGAGACAGCAGGTAAAACCTGTCATTTGAGGAAGTGACTCTTTGAGGGGACCACTGTGAGCAGGGCACCAACACTTCATCGCTGGTGTGGAATTTTACCTGGTTCTAATTAGTGAATGGCTATTTATTCACCTACCGCTGCAATTTTGGAAAGGATGTAGGGTAATGTTTAAAGGATCAAACGATTTCGACGCTCTCTGATGCGTGCTTCACTGCCTACATAAAAAATGAACAACCAGCTCACCTAAAAGTAAACTATCAAGGTTCGTTATTAGTTTGATGTCTTCACAAATTCGGACCTACAATGAAATCTGGTTGTTCCAGGAAGAGGGAGTAAGACCGCATGTTAGAACTTTGTTTGCCGGACACAACTGACGAAATCGAAGAGAATCGCCTCTATATCTTCCGTAATTTTAGTGTATAAATGAACATTTGAGTTCAGTTGCTTGCTGATGGACGTTATGGGTTTAACTTCGCCAATAAATGATGACCAGTCTTTCAGATATTGAAGGCGAAGATTGGGTAATTCGAGGCTCATGGACGTGATGTACAGACTCAAAATAACATTTCTCAAACTTTTTAAACTGCTATACTTTGGCTTTAGTTGTGACTGTGTTCATGGATGTAAAATTGACAGTGTATATCCTGCTAGCTTTCTAATGGGCTACCTAGATGATTATGCGACCACTGGTTAGTGGCTAATATAAAACTGTATTTTTGGCGTCTGTAACGCCGCGTTTTATGAGGCATAAAAAATAGGTTCTAAGTCCGGAACATCCCCTTTTCCAATGAATCGGCGTCTTGTTTGCATATTTGTCCTATTTGCCTGCGAATCTCTCCTTTTGCGCCTTTTGCACTGTTAAAAAACGGCACACAACAATTATTCTTCCTTTACTGTGAATACCAGGCAATGGTAGATTCTTCATTTGAGGTTCTGTGTCGGTCAACTCTCGGTTAGGTATCATGACTTCATCAATTTTCTAATGAACAGTGTCAAATACATTTCACACACATGTTTGCTTGTTTTTTAAAGGTTCTAAGCAACATAACACGAATTCGCATGACCTGGTGTCAAGAAAACCCACCAAATTCGCTATGAACGATTGTTTAGGCACTTCAATACCTAAATGGTTGGGTAACTCATCGTCAAATAACTTGATGTCATACCCAATATCAAACAATTCATACATATCAATAGATGATTTTGGTCCACGCACTCTTACAGGTGACGTGCCACAATATACCAACAGAATTGGCCTGTTGATCCAGGTTGTTTACCTTTTGACCTAGAAAGTGCCCTATTGGGCTATCTGCCTCTTTCGTCCTTTGCTACCTATATTGTGCCAGTCCTCCCCTTAGTGATCTGACTTTGACCACGAATCTTGAGATTATTGGGTTTATGCTTATGCACCCTTGGTTCACCTAACCTCACGTAGGTCGCTTCTCCCCTAATATTCTGTCAGCGGCGCGTCCTAACTGTTCAAGAGAAGAGCCAAGATACCACACGACCAGTGCCCTGGCTTAAGTACGGGCGTGCTGTTCCCTACAAGCTGCTGGAGCTGGCCCAAGAAATGTAGTGAGGATCTATCCAAGGTATTCTCTTCTTGAAGCAACCTCTGTGTTTGCTAACTTTTTGGCATACAGAGGAGTTTTGTCAGCTCTGACTTAAGCACTATGTATGTTTTGTAGTTTTTATTTGGGACGGGACGGTTGAAGTGTAAGGTAACACACCTACTTGTTTATACCATAAGGTAACTCAGACCACTGAGTGTTTCTTTTCATGGTGAAAATAATTTGGAGCATTAAACAATGAAAACTACCAAAATATCCTAACCACTGTATATTTTCAAAAGCGCTTTCTCAGTTTTTGTTGAGGGGTAAAACAACTCTCTTTGTGAAAGATTTCGACGGAGAAATAAGCTTCTGCTAAAACCAATGCCGTGGCTATATAAGCACGCGTTGAATCTTGTAGTGAAGATTCTAAAGCGAGGATCTAGAATTGTTTGTTCGTGTCAAGGACGAAAAGTTATATCCGTGGTTGGCTGTTTGAATTTGGAAAATGGCAGCTGATGATTCCCTTCCAGAGATACTGGAAGTATTCGAAGAATGCCAACTTAACCACTTAGCTCATGATCGTCTTTGCGTTAAGCTGAAGAATATCTATGATAACGTAAGTCACTAGCAACTGTATTCGATATGGAATATGGGCAAGATCTCCTACGCATCTTTTGAACTTTATTTAAGAGTGAGATGAGGTTGTGAGCTGAGGGTTAAAAAAGTACTTACCCTATCAGAATACTCATGTAAAAAAGTAGAAAAGTGACTATATAGGAAATGAGAAAAAAGAATTCCAGGGAGTTGAATTTTGATTTGGTGTTTTAAAATGAAGCTACTAAGTTAACCAAACTAAAAATAATCAATTTGAGTTGGAAATATTCATTAACTCTCAAGATTGAGTGTTATATCATCATAGCAGCTGACATAGTTGAAGTTTTTTACAAGCATAGCTTGTGTATCTGTTATGCCATAACATGCTGTACCCATCCCGAACTACTCTACCACTCATTTTGAACAACTAATAAAAAATAAATGGCAATAAAAGTCGCAAATTTTTAGAATGATGGCCATCAGTCATTGTGTTTCAAGATTCGTTTGTATCTCTAACTCTTTGTTTAATCTACTCCTCGTGCATGTGCGTCTCGTTTCTTGTAATTCCACATAATCCAGTTAACGCAGTTGTACCCTACCTGCGTGGAAATCTAGGCAAAATCCATATCACAAGGCATAATTTAATGTGGCTTTACCATTTGCAACAACTGTTGGACATCATTTACTTGGGGTCTTTTTGTTTTTGTTCCTTAACCTTCCCCGCGGAATGTGGGGCTTCAAGCTGGAGACTTGATGTTTCAGTAGCATTGGTGTTTATTTTTTATGGGATTGGGTTACTGACCTCATGCCCAACCTTTCCTCTTCACCAGCATTATTTCTGGCCTAGCGAGGTAGAGGAGTGCGTCGGCAGGGGATCGAACCCCGAACCACAGGCGAGTTCTGTCACTGTGCCACCTCGGGTGGTTGCTACATTCTAACTTCCCTCCGATGCGTACTATCCGCAACCTGTATTCTTATAGACTCCATTGTTTCACAAGTGTGTTTCTCCAGACAAGCTCAAATGTTCGGCTTTTTGTTCATTATGTTGTCAGAGTCACTTTTTTTTTAAATCTTAGACACGTTTCTCAGTGTTTGCTGATGACTTCCTTGAGCTTTGTCGATACAGTTTGGTGTCTGCTGAACGGTCGTTATATCGTGAACGGACAATTGATTTCATTACAAAGTTTGCATTATTTTGTGGAAAAGATTCGAATGAGGATGGCGTTCTAAATACAATACATAATCGTATCTTACTAAGGCTTATAATATTCTGCATTAAAGTAAGTTAACTTTGTTTATTTATGTTTTTATTAAATTGTTGTATACACACCTGTCAAATATTCTCAATGTAGATTTCGTCGCGAACCAATACCACTTGGGGGGTTCATGGAAAACCAGTAGGGAGCTGTGAATAGCTGTTTGGGACCCCTCCCACGATCTTCAGGTCACGAGGCTAAGTTCGTTTACCATGTAGCCGAATGGGCTAGAATTCAGTGACCCGGTGATTCTGTCTTCCTTTAATTCCTATGATGCAACTCCACCAACGATAACCAGCCTTTCTTGGTGAGTATCCACTGAACAACCTTGACGTGGGCCCTACTGATCATGACTTGTTGCTGCGCTTTCAGCACATCCACCCACTAACCGCTGATAATCTAAGCTATGTTGATGTGTCGGTATTCTTAGTAGTGTCATTAAAACTCACTTGCATTTATATGTAGGTGTTTATTGACTACATCTATATAGCATGGCTAATAATACTTGTTTGCCCTAATGGTTACGTTTGTAACGAGGGTTCAAATTCACGACTCAGTAGTTTAATGTCAAGCGTATAAACCAAAAGACACTGTCCTGGCTTTTCTGATCATTTGATAATGTGGGCAAAATAGGAACAGGCCTTTCTGAGGATAAACTATCAACTACCAAAAAACCTTGAACGAACAATCTGAATGCAGGAATGTCTAAAACCCTGAGTTTGTTGATAAATTGTATATTGAAATGGCTGGATTATTTAGTGGGGCGATTCTGCGTCATCTTAACGCCTGATCCTAAACTTAACTCATGACCCCAATCTGACATTCGACTATAACTCCTAACCCTAATATAGCTCAAAACCTAACCACTGGCCCTGACCGTAGACGTTCAAATGAGTTCAGCAGAAAGCTCTTGAAGCAAAAATTAGGCCGCACTCATGAGTGATGTGACTTTTTTCCAAGGTCATTTGGTGTCTATTATAGTCTATCTTCCCTCAGGCTTTGTTTGTTAACCAGTGCACATCGATCACTGTATTGTCTTCCATCAATTTCTGGGATACACTTAGATACTATTTTTCTGGCCTACAGATTCGTCAGGGAGTTTTCTGTGGTAGTAAACTCTAGAAGTATGAACTATATATATATGTATATATCATCAAACGTCATATCAAAGCGTATGAGCTGACGATAACTACCAGCTGTTCATTCGGTTGTAACCATTCAGACCAGAAGTGCCTGTCCACTTAACTGCTGAAGAATACTGTTAACAGTTATAGGTTGAGTAAGCATGTTTTACTGTTTGTTATCGTCTTCTGTCTATAACACTATTTACTTATCTCATATGAAAATACAAATTGAGCAAAATTAAGGTTATAATTCAGATTTTTGTTGTGAGGATAGATTACTTCAGACCTGTTTTAATCTTTTTTTTAAATAAGTAACTGTGCTTGTCTAATTCCCTTCTTAAACGATTCGGTTGTGGTCGTAGACACCACTTCCTCTAGCAGAAACGGTAATCCACGTTGTCTTTTTATCTTCTGCTATACCCCCTGGTGGGAACGAGAAAAGGGGGGACATCAAATACATAACTGTTGCTTAGCCTAGGATTTTAAACATCATGAAGAGATCTCCTTTATGCTTAAGGTACGATATAGAAAAGAGATTCTTTCCTCGTGTGATAAATTAATCAAAGCAGCAACTGTACATATGACCTTCCCTTGATGTTTCTAAACTAAGTGAGTTGCTTTTAAGACGGGTGCTGAATACAGTTTTCTAGTTTTGATCTCATCACATGCATATGAATTAGCGAACATTTCACTGGTGCTTCTGATAAAGACCCCACGTATTGCTCATGAAAATCTAGAACTGTGAGCTGCCACCGCTTAATGTCGTGGTTTTTTAGGTCGTGACTTACTATGATATCCCGATCTTTATGTATCTGAACTGGTGGTGGAAGTGGTATTCCGCTTATATTATATGCACTGACATGAGTCCCGATGCTTTTTTGTAGGTGAAAAAGTAGGTGAATTCCTTTAGACTCTTCCCGTTGGTGATGGTTATTGGTGCTTATCGTTCTGTTGACTAGGTGTCTTCACCGCTGTCTTCTCTATCTTAACGTGAAGTCCTGTTTTCCCGTCTCTTCCGTCCTTTTGTTGGTTTTCGCTTGTATAACTTTGAGTTTGTGTGGCATTAAACATAAATCGTTCGCGAATTCTAGATCTCCTTGGGCCATCTTGTCAATCCAACATATACTTGTCTTATCTTTCCTCACAGTCTGTTTCAGGATCCAATCCATCACGATCAAGAATATCATTGTTCTTGTTTGCCTTGCCTTGTTTTACCCTTATTTTTACTTCGAAGGCTCCGCTGAGCTTTCTGTTGTGAGTCATGTGGCACGTGGCATCGTCACATAGCTGTTGACAAAGGTTTATAAAGGTATGGAACAGTCCGTAGTTTTGAAGCAGTTCCCCCCAATTACTTCGTGGTCAACGGTATCGAAAGCCTCACTTCAAATTCCATGAAATTAATAGTAAAGACTTGACTGCCGTTCTATGTATTTTGTTCGTTAATGATGATGCGTAGCACTGCAATTTAAAAATCCACATATATTTGTTTATTCCTGAATCTTGAGTGCGGCTTCTTCCCAGCTGAGGGGGGGGTGGGTTTCGCATCGAGAGCCTCCGTTTTGTCTCTTCACCATCAATCAATCATTGGTCGAGATTCATTATGTATAATTATTTGATTAATATCAATACTCTTGAAAGTCAACTTCATCTGTTTATGTAATTATAATTTTTTTTTGCTCCTAGTACAATGAATGTCCAAATCCTGCTGTACGATTTCGATGTATGCAAATCATTCACAAATTATTAGATGGTATCGGTGATAACGGAATATTACCTGGTGAAATCTATACAAAATTACAAGATGTATTACTACGTCGTGTTTATGATGTGAAGGTTAGTTAACGTGGTCACAATGTTCTATTTTCTTATTCTCATGTCAAACATTCGAAAATTTCTTCTCAAGATGTTCGAAAGACTATTTTGTCAGTGACTTCGGAGTGATATCACGTGCAAGCCATGCTTTCGTGAGGAAGCCTAGTGGAAAGCGAACGACGCGTTGAATACGGGTTCGAGGGTGATATGGAAGTGATCATGTATGAAGGGTGGAAAATGAAAGGTTATGGTGGTCTTCATTATGCCAGGTGAAGATTACAGCATAGAATCGAATGTAAAGAAAATGTTCCGCCTTATTTAGCATAAGGTGGACGTCTAACACTCAATAAATTTTTTAAAAACTCAGATTCAATTATCATTAGTGCATTATGTTTATTTTTATTCATTTTGCTGTTATTTAGCAAAACGTCTACTACATATGATACATTAATGTTCACTTTAACTTTAACAATAGGTTTCTGTACGTGTTGAAGCTATTAAAGCTATATCACGTATGCAAGATCCTAATGATGCACAATGTAGTGTAGTAGAAGCTTTCATGTGGCTTACTCGACATGATCCAACAGCTGAAGTGAGACGTGCTGCTGCAGCCGCAATGGTGTTGACAACACGAACATTAGGCCATCTTCTTGAACGATGCCGTGATGTAGCGGATAATGTTCGTCGTACTGCATATAAAATACTGGCGGATCGAAGTATCATACGACCTTTATCAATTGCCAAGCGTATACGTATCCTACAAGACGGTTTATCAGATAGATCAGGTAAGATTTATTTCACAGTTCTGTCATTTGTGTTATTGCATGTATTATTAACACCTATGATGACTATTGTCTTCAACAGACCTGTGAATATTGTCATTGTCATTTACTGGTTCTGGTATAATCCCGTTTATTTTTAGTACTGAGGGTGCTTTGTGTGTTAACTGAAATACTGTCGGCCGTTGACGAACAGTAAGTTGTGTTGGAAACATCGTCATCCAGTATATATATATATATATATATATATATATATGACGATGAAATCTCTGCTTATGCTGCATGATCAGAAGTAGTAGTGTAATGCAGAATTAAGCTGTTGACTGTTCTCCGTTGTCTTTCCTACAACCATGCTAGTAGGTGTTTACAAACGCGCGTCTAAACAATGTCCTGCTGACATGGCGTATTTACTTAACTGATTATACATTAGCAAGGGAACTGGTAAGCACACATTAAAATTTGTCAACAGTGGGTCATTGTCTCGGTTAACAAGTTCATGTTTGCAGAGGAGGTGATTCGTGAGGGTGTAGTGAAAACCACATTCTTCAAATGACTCTCGACGGATGGCTTCAGAAAACTAAGTATGCCTCGTTTGAATTTCAGATCTAAAAATACTTGTTTCTTCGGTACATTCAGGTTTCGCGGAGCATCCGTCTTTATCATTAAGTGTTTGTCGATGACTTGAATACTTCTGAATGATCCCGGTTCTTTTACTCAATGTATCTTTGGTGCAATACGTTAGATTCTGGTTGTAAAAGGGGTGATGAAGTTTCTGCTCCTGCATATGGTAACATATTGTAAAAGTTAGCCAGGTGTGCATTCCTTTTAGAACTGGATCTGTCTTTGACGCTTTTGGTGAACAGGTGCATGTTTGGGAAGGATAAGGCGTGGAGATGCACCTTAAATCTTCATCATGCAGCCGAAGCTCTAACTAATCCATAAGAAAAAGCGGCGGAACTTTGTGTTCACAAAGAGTCTTATTCAGTCTCTGTTACTGACTCTTTCGATCCTTATTTCCCATCGTTTATTGCCAAGTGATTCTTCATCACTTAATTAATGAGTTGTCAACTCTATCTCGATTACGCCACATTATTCACACATTGTTCTTTCTCATACACTTTGATTTATTCAAATGTTGGTTTGCAGTGATTTGATTGGTTACAAGTTCGATCATGATGGCATCAGCTAGTTGTTGCGCCATATATATGCATATATATATATATCGCAAATTGGCAGAAATTGGAAATCATAGGCCATTGGTTTGGGTTCCAGTGGCCTGGTTGGAGCCTTAATCTGCTCCCCTTCTCAACTTTGTGTCCAGCAGGCTGGCTGCGTCTCAACTTCGTTGAGCACTAGTGAGATGAAATCTATCTGGTTTGTGGTATGCCCATCTACGAGTCTGCCTGGTTCTAGGTTAGAACCCCGACGGGTGCGTGCTGATGAAGATTGCCATACTAGAAGGTGAGGCAGTTGTCTATTGCTGCCTGGTAGCTATTGGTGGTTCTCTAACTGCTGCATCAATTCATGATTGGACTGTGGTTTATCTTTATTACTAACGGACAATATAACCTCTGATCTTTGTTGTTGTCAATCAACATTATACCTACATAAACCTCTAGATAAGTACCTGTACAGCTTTGAAGTGAAGCTACAGCTTACGTGTTCTTTTTTTTATTCACATCACACGGGATTATTTTTGGTACCTTGATGCGAAGATCCTTGTTTTTCTCTTTTCTCCTTCTGCAGAGGATGTTCGTAAAGCCACGAAAGCGCTAATTTTATCCTGGTTCAATGCTTCAAATAGAGATCCAATCCTATTGTTACATCGTCTCGATCCAGAATGTGAAGCAGAGACATGTCAAAAAGTGTTAGACAATTTATTTGATATTCTGTCCTTGGATGAGTTGCTTAAAGTTGTACAAAATTGGGCGGCCACCTATTTAACTTCTGAGTAAGTAAAGTGACTAGCTAGCTGTTTTTGATGTCTCCTGTAAGTTTTCAAAATGTTGTTTTTATTGATATGGTTACATTCATTGAGCTGCATAGTGATGATTTAAATTGCGAAAATTCCATTATCCGTCTTTCAAGACAACATCACACAATTTTGAATGTGTGAAGTGTAAACTTATTTGAATTCGCTCTCCAGGACTGACTGATATAATTAGGTATCTCGAGACAACTTTTGTCGTGATTGGCTGCTATTCAATTTTGGTTGTCATGTGGCCTATTCTTTATTAGTTGATACACTTCATCTGTAATAATATATGTCTGTTAATCGCTTATTCGTCTGAGTGAGTACTCATAGACTTTTTTTAAGAATTCCCTGGCATTTTTCTTGGTATTCTCATTGTTTAAAACTCCTATAATTTACCAGTCAAGTTGGCGTCCACATTAGTTGTCTGTATGCATTAAATGATTGGGGAATACATGTCGTGTTTTCTTGATAGCTAGTTTTTATTTTCTTGAATTCAGAGTCTAAGGGGATGCTCATTTTGACCCATATAATATTGCCTATCACAAGTCATCTTGATCTTGGCTTCTTTTACTTTTAGGTGGGTTTTTCGATTTGCATAAATAGTGATTATGTTGGTTGGTGTGTCTCTCTATGTGTTCGTGATGTATATTCTAAATAGTTTTGCTATTCTGAATGTTCTTTCAAAAATATTCTTCTAATGTACATATGGTCGGATGAACTTTTGTGTTTCTGAAGATGGTTCTTTTCGCTGGTAGCTCGATTTGAGTTCAGACATATTTTTTTGATGAAACTATAAAGCTATCCAGTTTTACTAGTGACAGTGAATTAGTATATTTCTTACAGGATTTCATCATGAGCTGACATTGATTAGATAACCATTGAAAAACCCGGGATTACTAGAAAGTTGTTTCGTCCCCCTTGTTTGAGGCTCTTCAGCAGCACGCACTCACCGGGCTTCGAACCCAGGACCTTCCATTTACCAGGCGAGCTCGTACACCCTTAAGTCACTGGGACCCGATCCAATGGCTCATGAACTGACAGAAGTTAAAACGCCAGTGATCCTTTAGCTAATTTTAGCTTATGGTGAAATCCTGTAATCAGTCAAATCAAACCCTTCAAAACCAACACTTAAACATATTTCTCTTTTATTCTCCTTCAGACTGGATTGTTGCAGTGTATGTTTTATCTTTTTTGAATAATGTTGGTATACAGTTTCCTTTGTGTGTTTTTAGATTTATTGTTCTTATTATTAAAACACATAATTGGCGCATCATGCGCACGAAGGGATGCGCCATACAAAATTTTCTCATAGTTTATACGAGGGCTGGGGGACTGCCCCGACACCCAAACTTTGGCATGCGGTTGTGTTAAGGAAGCAATCACAAAGCCTTTAACTTGAAGTGCGATCTATAAGGCAGTGGAGCTGCATTCTCACGGTTACCAATGACCAAAACAAGTTGATACACAATTCGATCCTTTCGCATTCTAGCGATCGTGTACACCATAGGTTTTGAATCAGGGTTTTTCAGCTCCACTAGGTGAATCTGCTTGTCCGTTAATCCGGTTGTAAATATCAAGGGTTTTCATTCACCCTTCCACTTTGATGAGGAATACCCAGGTTATCTGAAGACAGTGAATAACACAACTTACCTGGCAGAGGTTATGGGAACATTTCGAGGAGGCTGACAACAATATCTTATGGTTTCAGTTAAATCTTATCATCAAGCTTTACTCTAATATACACACAGACTGCAGTGGAAGTGTTCCTCACAAAAATGAAACGGTGAATGCGAATGTCTGGCACTTAAAAACGGATTGATTGACTGACTGGTTTCAGTATACAACTTTGCACAGAAGTGCAGTAGTCCGAGTTGCCACACCATACAGCACACAAAAGACAAAAAAAGATTCGAAAGAACAACAATAAACAAAAATGTGAGGAAGAAAGAATTACAAACGGACTGGTGGAGGGCATTTAGGTCTACTCTAATGAGCTGGAAAATGCTGATAAACGCTGCGTTAATCAGAAATGAAGTTATTGCCGTCTTCATTCTTCATTTTGTTTCTATCTATCAATAAAATTTACTGAAGTTCAGAGACCAATTAAATTCTGTCAGTTTCTTCTCAGAGTGTTATCAGGTGAAAACATGTCGTAGGTCAGTGAATCTGTTGACTGTCTATTCGAGACTGTTGATAATGCGGTTCAAAATCGTTCACAATAATGCAAATGCATTCACTGTCTGTGACTGATCTCCTCCCATCCCACATCCATCTAAATTTTCACTATTGTTATTAGTTGTAATTATAATTTCTAACTTCACTCCGTTCATTATACCTACTTTACAGTTTTCTTTATATCTGCCTTTATGTGTGGGTGTGCGTCTCTCTCTCTCTGAAGTTTGCAGTAACTGATATTGTTGGACTACTGTGTAACATTCCGTCGAAGTGTGGTGAAATCTTGATACATGAAGTCTTTCACTGTTGGTTTCACCCATATAGAGAGGTGCAAACTAGCTGGTTGGTCGGAATCCTTGAGACACTAAGATGCAGTGGCTTGCCATTATTGGTGATATTCACGGAAAATACCCAGACATGAATGTAAGAACAAAAAGTTCAGCGAATAGTCTCTTTTCAGCGAATTCATTGTCTCAACTGTACAATGGCATTTATATGTAATTATTTGTGTGTATGTACTCAAAACTTTTTGTTCTTATATTGGTGATATGTCTCACAGTCGTCCGCGGACGCGTTCACTCTTTGTTATCTGCTAGATCTACTAAGTCCTCATGATTCTCCATGCAATTATTTCCTTTCCGTTGCTGACTTTACACATTTAGAGATTGACTTGTTACCAGGGAACAAGAATTTCATCGAATTCGATTATGATGATAATACAGTCCTTTTAGATAAAAACGCTGATAAGATGCAGAGTCTAATGAACACATTGAGAAGAAATCTTCGAATGTTAAGCATCTGTTTAATGTAAGATGATGCTGCAGGACTTGTCTGTGTCGATTCCTTGTTTATAAAAATAGGAAGTGAAGTAGCAGAGCGTGTCGACCAATTCACTTATTTAGGAAATTGTATCAGCCTTAGTTGATTGACTAATTGCTGACGGAATCTCATTTTGGGTACAAACGTCTTATATATGACGTCAAATATCCGGATGGTGGAGATCCTCGGACTATTGCTGGTTTCAGAAGACTAAGCCTAATACGCAGAACACTATGCACTATAACCGACGCAGAACAATAGAAAACGGTTGAGCAACACGATTGTTTATTCTTCAACCGATAACGAAAAAGATTTACAATGCTTAATCAGTGCCAAAGCCTGTAAATAAACGTTAATATGACGTGCAACAATACTTATGATAGTATTTCTTCAATCTTCTGCCAACGAGTACACGATTAAGCAATGACAGCCTTCTTGTCTCCTACCAATGTGGAGACCTGTTTCAACAAACTAACAATTCAATGTTCGCCAGCACTGACACTCCACGGCAAAAGAGGACCATCCCTTTTTTCCATTGCGATCGATGGAGTCGGACTTGACTGCCGATGGCGAACCTGGGCCAACCGGGACTAGGCTGAAATGGGAAACAAAACAAAAAAGCCAACACACAACAGACATACTCGCACCACACCGGTGCGCTTTCTCCCTCTTCCCGGTGTGTGAAACCGTGATCGTAACACCTCTTCTTTCTCAATAGACAATACCAAAAGCAATCGTTGTCCTCATGAGTGTGTTTGATGCTTCTCCATCTGCATCACCCCACCTTCATCTCAATCCTCCCCGGTGTGAATTGCAGAAGACTCGAAACAACTTCAGAAGTAGTCACATTGACATTATACGGTTTATAGGATACGGAAATAACAAATGGACAGGATGAAACCAGATAACAACTCAATTTATACAGTGTATACGTATATACAGATAATGCACCAAGTATCGTGAACCATGCTTCGACGTACTACCTTTGAAGGATTGCAGGATCTACACCAGTAGGCATGCAACCCCTGTCAGACTGACGATTCTAAGTTAGAGAATCGTCGTAGAGTTCATTCACTGACCTCTAGCGTGGACATTATATTCGTCTATCAGTCAGAAGATGTATGTACTGCGCGGCTATTCCCTTTGTCCTTCTTTATGGCAGTGAGCCATGGCCATTGAAAGTGGAAGGTATAAAAAGACCAGTTGTCTTTCACTACAGGTGTGTACTTTCTATCTCTTGTTTTCAAAGGTATTGTATGGTGAGTAGTATTAATAAGAGTCGGTGTAGAGAATCAGGTAAGGTGAGCAAGTTAATCGATGAGGTTGTGAAGTTCCATCAATTGATGAAATGGCTAGGACACGTTTTATTCCTCACACATCATCTCCTTTTTTTGACAAGCGTTGTCAGCCAACACCGAATCAGGTTGGAAAAGAGTTTCGGAAGTAGAGGTGGTCAAATCAAAACCTGGTATGAATCCACGAAATCTTTAATGTTGGTTTAAGCCAGTCACCTAAGGGGGTGTAGACTACCTGATTAGGATTTCTGAGATGCTAAGACGGATTTGCTGGAGAGTGTTGGAGATAGTGTCTCAAAACTCTTCCTAATTTCCCATCTCCATTAGTTCCTCATTTTCATTTTACTTTTTTGTTTTCCCCAATACATTTCGCCAATTTTAGTTCTTTTGATTTGTTTCTCTATCCTCATGTGATGTTGTATGAAGTGTGTGAAAACTTGAAGTGTTGCACTTCTGTGTCAAGTTAGTTCTGTGTTGGAAAATTCAGTCTATCAGAGACTGCTGCTATCGTTCGCATTACTATTATTCGTCTTATTATTATTATTATTTTGTTTTCAAATGCCTCCATCTTTTCTTCATTTCTTTCTTAGTCATGTATTAAAATCAGATTGTCTTACACCAGATTCAGCATTCTTCTGGCGAGCACTAATTCAGTTTATACGTAAGAAAGAGGCAGAAGTCAATGAATTACTTGTTAACAGTAGTATGGACAAGTGGTACATCATGAAAACGAGGAAGTCGATGATCAGAATCCTGTTGAACAGATAGCTGAATTAATACAACCGTCAGTTTGTATTTATGTTGATTTTGCCAAGAAGTAAGTTGTCAGTGTGTGTTTGTGTGTGTTCATTAACGCGTAATTACTCTTATTACATAACCAGTGAATAATACAATGTCGTGAAAATCACCAGGAAGTAATGGACAGCTGTGTGTTCCTGAGTGCACACTGATAAAAAGTCTTAAACTAGGAAGACGAAACAGTTGTCCAGTGCTCCTTGGTGGTTTTCAGTACTGTCTTAATGATGTTAATTCGTGACACGAAATATACATTGAAGCTAATTAAAATTCCATAAACCAGTTACCAATTTCCTGCGGATGGATGGTTATTGTGGATGGATTTTTTGAAGCTGTACTGAAATTTCCGTGACCATTAGGGTTCACTACGTCAAGGTGTCAAGTGGATTGCGGATACTGTTCGTAGGCATTGTTTGACAATGTTATCGCCATGTCACATGTGAATTGATCGAAGTGAAAACTTATGAGCCATTGACTGGTAATAATATCTCCCATATTTCTGGCATCTACATTGAGTCACTTCTGTTGCGAATACCAGAGATATGAAAGATATAAGATTACCAGTCAAATCAAAGGATAATGGTGTTAAAATGTATTTCAATTCATATTCTAACAAGTTATGTATTTTACTATAAATACATCGTATTTCCCATTTTATTGACTAACAACACTTGTCTTAATTCCCATCGTATTATATTTAATTGGCAACACTAAAATTGTTACCGAATGTACTTTATCTTCCTTTGTGTTTCTCGCATGTCTTATATTGGTTTTATTCATAAATATCTAATAAGTTTTTCCTCGTGTATATAAACGAAGCGAGAAAGTTGTGTGAGTACTTATGGATGATGATGAGCAATAAATTGTGCTCGAAACATGGTCATCAGTAAATATTACTGCATAACACTGTGTGACTTTATCAAAGCATAATTTTATCCATAATTGAATTATACTCTACCTCAGTGCCTAAGTTTTATTCTTATATCAGATATCTACAAAATCCCATCATATATATATATATATATACTTAAAGAAATGCTGCGTATGACTATCTCACTTGAATATCAATGAGATGCTCACTAGCGACTTGCCCTATTCAGGTAGTTTCTAGTGAGAAGTCGTGACCAGTAGAGTGCAGCAGGTCGGGTGTGGGGACAAATACTCGCCGAAGACATTGGCTAGGGGTCGCGCTATGTCGTGAATTGGCAGAAGTTAGAATTCATGGGCCATTGAATTGGGTCCCAGTGGCTTAATGGTCAACGAGCTCGCTAGCCTTGTAACCAGAAGGTCCTGGGTTCGAACCCTGGTGGATGCGTACTGCTGAAGAGTCCCAAACTAGGACGAAACAGCTGTCCAGTACTCCCAGGTTTTCCAATGGTTCTCTAACCGATATCAGCTCATGATGAAAATCCTGTATCTCCTCAATTATTGGCTTCAGGATGAATGTTTAGCGGGGTGTATCATATGATTTGTGAATTAGATGCTAATTTGATAACAATAACTGACTGCAGCGCTGATGTACCTTGAATTTAAGGGAGGTTAGAATCCATGCGTTTTCGAAGGAAAGACTAACTTTTAGAAATCTACAAGACACAAGTTGAGTATCTGATATCAAGATTGATAATATATTGACTTATTTCGTATCGCAAGATGCCGTCGATAACATATATAAGAATCAGTCCGTGGAAGCCTTGTTCACCTCTTGCTTGAAACCAGAAATTAAGTCTGACATGTTTAGAGAGATTCAGTTTAAGAGTATTGGTTAACATCAGCTGGGAAGTTTTTCATTTCAGAACAAAACCTAATGCAGAAACAACTGGAACAGAAGTCGTCAATATCCGATAGGCATATATTGATTTCTGACATTAATATATTGATATTTTCAAGTATTGACTTTTGTAGGGATTTTGTTTGATTGGTTGGAGGATTTCATCATGAGCTGACATCAGTTAGAGAACCACTGGAATACTTGGGAGTACTGGGAAGCTTTCTCACTGATGAAGAGTCCCAAACTAGGACGAAACAGCTCTCCCAGTACTCCATGCAGGTTTTCCAATGGTTCTCTAACCGATGTCAGCTCATGAGGAAATCCTCCAACCAATATTGATATTTATTATTAATTTTATTCCTTTACATTCTGAGTGGAACATAGGGCCTCAGACTAGAGTTTTAAAGTTTCGGTATCAGTGGTTTTATTCTTACAGGGTGGGGTTACTAGCCTCGCGCCCGACCTCTCCTCTTTACAGGCCTAGCGAGGTATAGGAGTGCGTCGGCCGGGGATCGAACCACGGACCACATGTGGTGTGGTTGGTGAGCGTCCTACCGCTAAACCATTGACGCACAAAGAGTGTGTTGTATAGTAAAAAAAAACAGGAACCAACTTGACTGCGGGATAAGATCCCTTGGCTAGTGTAGTTTTACACCCTATTTTGAAAGCTGCTATGAGTTAGGTAAATTAACAAGTTTATTTGGATGTAAGAGTAGATTTTGGATACTGCAATAGAATATAATTTCATATTATGTAAATTTATTTGATATAACACTGATACAGTATGAGTAACTGGTTGACGTTTCGAGCTTAATTGATTGTTGCTTTCATCATATCAATGTATTCACATTGCTTCATAATTTCCTATACTTATACTTTTCCCTCTCCCCTGTTGTTGTGTATTGTAATTTTCCATATATCTGGTGCAGGTTTTGCATCATTCCGAATGCACCTGTGTTTGGTGTTTATTCGTTGAACAAAGATTTGGTGATCAATCTTCTTTCTCTCCACCCAAGTATATTTCTTTTTCTTACATTTATCTGATGCTACCTAACTTATTGTGTGTATTGCATTGAGAAAGCTGTTTTAAACCTTGCGCCAATCATTATCAATGGGAGAAACTTGAAAGACGTCACTTCCTTCACTTATCTGTGAAGCATTGTTTCGACCACAGTGGGGACGAATGATCATGTCAAAGCCAGAATCGGAAAAGCAAGATACACCTTCATCAATCTGAAATCGGTTTAAAACTCTACACTCAGCATTGGGAATAAGATTTGGATTTTCAAGACAAACGTGAAGTCAGTCACTTGTACTATACGGGTCAGAAACTTGGCCATCTTGTAATGCGAAGCGTTTCCAACAGATTGCATACTTTTATCAACAGCTGTCTTCACTCTATATTGAAGATCAAATGGCCGGCTGACCAGAAGTAATTAGCAACAAGAAACTCTGGCAACAAACCAACCAAGAGACTGATTGCTCAACAAATAAATATGACGGAGAAAATGAGATAGATCGGGCACACGCTGAGGAGACCGTCACTCTAGGCCATCACTCGAGTTTAACCCGAATGGGGAACGATTAGTTGGGCCTGAGTTCGAGGGTGACATGGAGGAGGTCGTGTGAGAAGAGGAGATGATAGACTACGGTCAATCAACCGTTGGCCAAGATAAAGAGGACAGCAGAAAGTGGAACAAAGTAGAGGTGTGTCGCTGAAGCCTTATGTTCCACTCAGAACCCAATGGAACAGTAATAATAAAATTCCTGTATACTGATGACCTAACCAGCCTGGATTTACTAGTTTCATCCATGTAATAATAACAATAATAATGGACTTGAAAGTCATTCAGTAACATTTGGTAAATTATATTACTTTTTCTAATTAGGTCTATCAGATGCTTATATCTACAAAGTGTATCTCTGAGTATACTGGCTAATTGCTTTAAATGTCATACTAATCCAACCTCTCGTGAAAAATCTTACCGACGGCTTCTGATTTTACTTCCTTATTTGGTTAATACTATCTAGGTTTTCGAATCATGTGATATTGATACTACTTTTATTGTTGATGAAAATCCATCTGGAAAATAAAAGTACCATTGGAAGTGAAAATAACGTAATATAGAATTTAAAGACTTTGCCGTACTACCGTACTACTACTACTGTGCGTCGGTGGCACAGTGGTTAGGACTCTCGCCGACCATGCACATGGTCCGGGGTTCGATCCCCTGCCGGCGCACACCCGATATCTATGGTCGGCCTGTAAATTCGGGCTACCGATATCCATGCTGAAAATTCCATACTTGTACTGAAAATACGGTGTGGAATCAAGCTGTAAATCACAAATAAAAAAGATAAAAATTGTAAATGGTCATAACAAAATGACTGTAATTATTGTACGACCAACATTTGAACGAGAGCACGTATCGCTGGAGGTGATACTCGTACCTTAGACATTGCATCCAGACGAGTTTGTGCAGTAAAAAAAGACATCAGAGCTCCAGGCACATACTACTGTGGTGATGTGATACAGATAATGTGTGCCAACGGAATATGATTATTCTTACATATTTTCACAGTTCAATTCGGCATTAGCAACAGAATACAATATATCTATTTGAACGTTCTGTTTTATGTTAGAGACAGAATACGTTTCCCACGGCTATATACTGCATTAACAACAGAATACTGTCTATATTTGAACATTCTATTTCATGTCATTTAATGTAAACCGAAATCACACGCTCAGTGATTGGTTAAAGAATATAAACTGTGAAATGTATAAACAGCGGTTTAGTCAATGAAAAACATACCTTGGCTTCCGTTCTATTGTTACACTACTGCCTTAAAAAGAAGAACCATCAAACGCCCTTCGTAGGATATTTGTCTGTCTGGATTCAACATAGAACTTGGCACCGAAGTGCAGCAGTTCGAGTTGCCACCTTTCAAATAGCACACGAAGGTAGACAAGACAAGAAGATGAGTGAAGACAATCAATAGAGTTTCGACAAGTATAAGTGAAACAGAATGAGTAATGGTAGAAAGGAATATGAAAGATTACAGAGACTGAATACATCTGCGCTAGCCATTGACAACGATTTTCAGCCATGTCACCTATTGTCTCCAGCCATTGATTCTTAGAGTCCCGAAGGGGGGCCCCAACCCGGAAGCCTGCATCTCCCTACCTGACTCAGTTTAACTGTCAAGGATTTCATGGATTGATGAGGCCATGTTTTTGTTTGGCCACCACTTACTCTTTTCCAACCTGCACCTACCTATATCAGCTAGTAATGCCCGTCCGTCGGGGGAGGCGATGGTTAGGCATGCACAGCACGTGACCTAGCCATCTCGATCTATGTAACTTTGTAGCCTCGTCGATTGATTTTCCCTCTTTGCCCAACACTACGCCTAACGTCGTCAACATTACTTACCTTATTATGCCACCCAACGTGAGAAAGAGATCGTAGACATCTATGATCAAAAATAGACAACCTTCTCATGTCTTCAACTCGTATTGGCCATGTTTCAGAGACATAGAGAAGGACGGAGCGAACTTCTGAGCAGTACACACGTCCCTTGGTTGATAGTCGGATGTCACGCCTACGCCAGAGATGGTGTAAGTTAGCGAAAGCAGCCCGAGCTTTTTGGATCCATGCTGAGATTTCGTCACCAATCAATCCATTGGTGCTGATACAACTTCCCAAATAGGTGAAGTGGTCAACATGTTCTATCACTTCACTCACTATCACTAAGCTAGGAGTTGACGTAGTCCAGTTGTAGGATTTTTAATATAGGTTGAATTAAAATGGCATTTAAACAAACTCACCAACCAACTAACTCAGAAGCAGACTTTGTCAACTGCAGGATCTGATAGATTCTCTAAATGATTTCACTTCCAATTTTATCTTTCTTTGTAGTATTGTTGACAAGTTTTTACAATCTGCAGCTGATCAGCAGAAAGATGTCAAGGTGTTTGATGAAGAATGTATTGTAGAACAAATCTTAATTATTGGAGGTTTACTTGACATCAGTGAAGAATATGGCCGACGACGTCTTCTCTCAGTGGTTCATGATTGGATAACAAGTCAACAGGTTTCTGCAAATTTAGCCCCACAATTGCTGAAATTATATGCCATCTTAGAACCGAATGTGGTTAGTAGTTGTAGCTTTTGTCTCGTGTTTGTTCCTGTTTTGTTTCATTTTGTCATTGTGTTATTTGTTTTCGTGGGTAAGTTTGCAGAGGGATTTGAAGAAGCCCAACGTGACGGGGCAGATACTGATTGCAAAACAGGTGGATCTCGTCATCCAGTGGCCCAGTGAACAGTACTATGGTGTTTGAGAAGATTGGTGCAGGCCAGACTGGAATCTCCGCTGAACAACCACACCACTCACTCACTAACTATGGATATAGGTACACCTGGCTGATGCATGCCATATACAAGGAAACGTGCCTTGCGGAATTCATTTCCAAATCCGTTTTGTACAAAATCATATTTCTGACCTGAAAATGAATCAAATTTTTAAAAATATGTCCGGCACGTGTACTACTTGATTGGCGAAATAGCCATTTAAAGTTACCAGTCAGTATACTTTATAAACTTGCTACAGGTGCGTAAGGTATGCGTTCATATACTGTGGAGTAATACCTTAAAAAGTCGTATCCTTGTAAATCTGCTAAGAAAGTCCTTAAGTTTAAATTGCCTAAGACTGACAGGGAGCGGGGGATGTCCTTCCCCTGAAGTTCATCTTGAAACTGTTGTTCCTCGTCAATTAATGTCAGCCATGAACTCCTTTATGGATGACAAAGAGGTCGACTATTCCTATCCGAGAAGTTCAGACAGTTGTTGGTCAACTGACTAGGCGCGTTATGTTTGAGAGGAATGAAGAAGCAGTGACAGTACAGTAGTTCTAAGTGAATGATGGTTGATCGTTTGAGTTTAATAGTAGAGGACGCTTGTTTTGCACATACTGGATAATGATAGACATTAGGCACTTTCAGTTTAGAATGCCTTTAAGCGTTCAGCGTCACCTGCTTTAATCATTTATTAGACAGAAGGTATTGAGTGAAGAAATATTCATTTTTTCAATTAGATTCTCATCGCTGACTCTACTGTAATAGTGTGTATAGCATTTTTAATACAACTCAAGAAATTCGCCAGTCTAGTGGCGGTAAGTTTGTTAACAATAATTTGTCAGTATCAGATTATCAAAGGGGTAACAGTTAGTCAAGAAATTAATCAATTAATCAAGGGTAGAAATGATTATAACAAGTGGATTGCATAATTCCCAATTTTAGAAAAATATGGGCAGAAGTGATCAAATGCGATAGTTTATCTTTGGAGTTGTTGAAGAACACTGGGTGGCTTGAGAATACCAATCATAATGCAGCAGAGAATGTTCTTTTCAAGGCTTAAGATATTCTTCTCTTTAGGATGTCGGTCAGAAGGTCGCCTTCGAACGCCACATTCATGTACAGCATCTTCTTCGACACAGAGACGAGTTCTTTGCTGATTTGTGGCTTTATGCGTTTATCTATAAAGCACAGCGGATAGCCATTCTCAAGTAGTGTCTTCCTTATCTATACTTTCGATCATCAACTCACCTCATCATAAGGTTGTTCGTTGGCTTGCAGAGTAGTTGGAACCCATTCGTCAACGGTTAGCCGTGTACACCATGAGAGACTCATTTCATTTCGCCGAAAGTGTGAACCACATGAACGTTTTAAATAAGTTCATGGCGTCATTTGATGCAACCCCCTTGTTCACAATGATTCCAATCAATGAAACTATGGAGATCACTCGTCAGTATTCTGATCTCCCAGTGCCGGAATTCAGACTGCTAATGTGAACCGTGGATGTGAAATTCCAAATTGGCAGTACTCTTTGACGCCAAATAGATGGTGTAGCTATCAGAAGTCTAATAAGCCCTGTTTTAGCAGATATCTTCATGTCCGACCTTGAGAAAACAAAGTTGAAGCATGCAATGGACGAATGAAATTCTTTTTGTCGATATGTCGATGACATATTTGTAGTGTGCAACAATGAAAGTCATGCTTCCTACCTACTCAGATTATTCAACGACGCACATACAAATATTGAATTCACTATGGAACATGAAAATGATGGAAAGTTCCATCTCCTCTACATTGTCATGCAACGCCTAGAATATGGTGGTCTTCAGAAGTCAATTTACCGAAAGCCCACATGGAAAGGACAATACCTATATTTTAATAGCTTTTGTCCAAATAGCTTTAAACGAGCACTAGTCAAGATTCTTTACTATAGAGGTAGGAAAATGTGCTCTACAGCGAAATTAGAGGAAGAAATTATGTTTCTCGAAAAGATGTTGAAAAGCCGAGGTTACCCCAAAAGTTCATTAACAAGTGCCGAACATCTGAAGGCTCAAATGTCAAGCAAATCACAGTGGAAAAGAAGCCTGTTTTCATTCAACTTGATTTTAAAGGTGGAAATATTACAACAATTGCCAACAGAAGATTGGGGACGTCACCAGCCAGAGCCTATCATGCGGCAAGCTGGTTCCCGACTATTGAACAACTTCCTCTTTGGTGGAATCAAAAATCGACAGATATCCTTCTCATTTTAACTCCAACTGTATATACAAATTTACATGTATCTGCGGGAGCAGTTACATTGGAAGAATATAAAGAAGGGTATACCTCCGATTTTCTGAACAAGTACCAAAAAGCCTATATCTCAAGGGAACAAATGTTTTAAACAATGCCATCACCAGGCATCTCCTTGAAACGAGTCGTGAGGTGAACGTCGCAAGGTCGTTCAAAATTACCAGTATGCAGAAGGGTTCAATTCTCCCTAAGTTTGTCGAAGCAATCTCCATCAAGCGCCTGAGACTCGATTTCTGTGTTCAGAAAGAAGCGGTTATCAGTCTTTCTTTGCCTTATCTGGTAACTGGATGTTTTCATCGTCTCTTTCATTTCATTTGATTATGTAACGCCAGAATATTCCATTGTATATGATCATTATTGTTTGGGATAAAGTGTTTATTAGCATTGTATGCCTATATTGATTTTCTTGTTTAAGAATGAACTTTCTGTGTATATAAGTATGTTAAAATTGTTTCTGTAACTATACTTAATAGTGTCTTTGTGCTGTAAGCAGCTGATGAGAAGCCAAAGAAATAAACAGTAGCGGTACTATGTTATTCTGCAAGAACTGTTATTCGTGCTTTATTCAAATTCACACAGGGGAATAAATGTGTGAAATAAGAGTTAATTGAAGAATAAATGGTTTTCATGTTGATTGCGTAACAAGCAATTAGAGATGAAGTAAAAAATTAAATTTGTAAAATCTCAGCGAGATTGAAATGAGTAATTCCAACGTTTCCTACATTCGGCAATCTGGTCCGAACTTTTTCAGGGAAATTAATCGAAATTAACATAACAGAGGTTTATATATCAAAGGAGCATCACTAGTTTTTAAAAACTTTGTCCAATCATGAGTCATTCAACAAGTATCAACAAGTATAATAAACAAAATTTTTATGAGCTGTGATCAAAATTTGACCTCGGACTTACAAATATTGGTCTACCTTTGTTTAACACTTTAAACAGAGTGTGTATGTGTGTGTGGGTGAACAGTTGTAAAACATTTCTTAACGTCTCCATAAGAAGATTTGGACAGTCGAGAATTTTGACCAAGTATTAATAATTAGTGATACATATCCATTCTTTGTTTATTAATAAGGATTTCCTATGTATCAGCTAACATCACGCCTTCATGTCCGTTCACACTGTTAGTATCTAGAATTTTATGATTAGACGTATTTTCAAAATTATGGTTTTAGGATTAGAGTTCAGTTGAAGCACCCTGTCGGACTTATTGCTTTGTCTTCTTTCTGAAGATTGAGCTGCTTTATTCGACCTACTGGAGTTGTCAGGTGACTCGACAGCTACGGATTTAGGATACGCATTCTGCTGCAGATCACAGCTCATAAAAATTTTATTTATTATACTTGTTGATACTTGTTGAATGACTCATGATTGGACAAAGTTTTTAAAAACAAGTGATGCTCCTTTTATATATAAACCTCTGTTATGTTAATTCCGATTAATTTCCCTGAAGAAGTTCGGACCAGATTGCCGAACGAAACGTTGGAATTACTCATTTCAATCTCGCTGAGATTTTACAAATATAATCTTTTACAAATGTCTACTTCTCACTCGGCGCCCAAATATTTTAGAACTATTCTGTCAAATCTTGACGAAAGTTCATTTGAATAGAGATGAAGTAGTTAGGAAAATAAATACATTTGAACAATGATAGCTTGTAAAAAGGCTTAGGAGGAGGGCGAAATAGTCTGATTTTTTTAATATTCATATGACGATGGCCGAGGTAAGGGAGTTGGCTGTACGGATTTGTTCTGGACACACAAATTTGGCTTCTTCAGATGAATTCTGTTCGTTTCAGTTGTGCGTAGAAGACGAACTCGTAAAGCAAAATCAGTATTAATCGGAATGTGACAAATAACTTCAAATGCGCAATCCTTTTGTCTTCTAAATGTTTAAATGTTTTTTTTGTCTGTATTGAATTCATTTTGAATACCTGTCATAGCCCAACTCACATGGCTGATTTCTGTACAGTAGTAATTGTCCTACAGAATTGAAGTCGATTTCTTGAAATACCTGAAATACAAGGGTATGAGTACTGCGTGACTGCAGAACCCAAAAGAGCAACTAATTGTGGTCAGTTGCACACAGCTTGTTTGAGTTGCCTGATTATGAGGATCTCACTACTGTGTATAAATTTTCTGGCAGCGTAAGTCGGGATGTTCAGCTTTTGGCGTCGATCTTTTCTAATCCTCCTCCTTAGAGCGAAGAGGTACGATAGCTGACTTACTGGTCATTCGAAGGAGATACTCTACTGTTGTCACACTTCTCTTAGCCAACAGTACGACTTCGTTCATAGCCCCCCTCCTCCGACATAATGTAAGTAACCTATGTCGTGATAGTAGGACGTATAAAAACATTCGTTCCGGCCATTGTAACTTCCTACGTAGAGATTGCGATATGCAAGCGTGACCCCCACTATGTGTCAAGTTCAACAACTGCCGGTCGATTGGAGTTGTTCAGATAGGATTGGCTTAACTTTTGACTTATTTTAATGTGTTTTATTGTTTGCGCATATTTCACTCTTGTTCACCCACTTATTTTTAAATTAGCGACGTCGTGTAAACAATGTCATCGAGATGATCAGTGAATTGTGTGAACCAACGGAACCAGACGAGCCGTTACCCGCACCACCAGTAACAACTTCCGATGGCGCAACAATTAATGAAGATTGTGTATCAAATGAAGAAAACGAACCCCGTGCAATTCAAACGGCTGTATCAAAGAAAAAGGAGATTAATATACGTTTGAAGGTTAGTTGTTATTGTGTGTGTGTGTGTGTGTCTGTAGTGCACTACAGTTCTTCGTTTCGTTCTTCTTTACTCCTATAAGACTGGAAGGTATGACTGTACTGTTTGTCTCTCACTATAGGTTCTTGTGTCACCTGATATGACATGGTAAGGTAATCTTAAGGTCAGGCGTAGTGTTAGATGATAAAAGAAAGTCATTCAATGAAGTTTTGAAGCTGCATCGATCGAGTTGGCTAAGGCATGTGTTAAGTGTGTGATGCTATTGTAACAACAGAAGACAAGGGCCAGGTCAGACAGATCGTTTATTAAGGAAAATCAACACATATTTATAGATTTTAATGTACATTATTGCAGATTATTGTTAGTATAAAATACAGTCTTTTGATTGGTTGTTTCTCACAGAAAGTTAACCTTGCATCTCTTTGTGGCTGGCTGTGTCAGATCATCCATATGCTAACTGTATCCGCCTACGCAAAGCCTTTGTTCTCATTTTCTCACCACCAATATTGGGGACATAAACATTGACGTCAATTACTGTCTACCAACTTTGGCTAGTAGCCAGCTGTCACCACACTATCACCTTTGTCGTCAAGTGTTGTTCGCTAACGTGGTATTTGGTGGGTTGTTTTGCACCGTTTGTCTGAATTACATTGGGAGGTTTAAGCTGTTTGGCTCGAGGGAGAGGCTAAAAATCAATGGCTCGTTCAGGAGTTACTACCAATTAGATATGTGAATTTAATATATGGCGCTTTAATACTTACACTGCATAGGTGGTTCTATGGTGGAAAGCTCTCTAGCCATACCAGTGGTCTAGGCTTGATTCCTGACCGACGCACTTCCAGACATATCGTAGTCTACTAGCTTGGTAGTAAGTTTGGAAATGGGAGGGGGAATGAGACTGGGTGTAAGAGTGACAACCCCACTGGGCAGGAAACCACTACTGATGGAGCCTGAACGATTAAAGTCCTATGTTCCACTCGAAACTCAAGCAATAAGGAGTTATTAACATTATTTTCAGTATATCCTCTCACCCGGCTGACTTCTTTCTTGTTTGAGTTTGCAGAGATTTAGCTGATTTCAAATGACTTTTGATCACAAACTAGAACAGTGTCGGAGAACTATTCTAAACAGCTGTTCCGTTGCAGTTTGACGCTCCTCACTATTATGTACCTATGACCTGTGACCCCACCTCGGGTACGGAACTCAGGACTTTCACGTTACTAGATAAGCCTGAGATATAGAATCCAATGGCGGCCACCTTGTGAATTCTAACTTATGTCAATTCGCGATGTATATATATATATATTCATATACCACCCCTAATCCACTTCATCAGCGAGTATTTATCTTCACAACCAACGAAGTTCATGGACCCCATCGGTAATGACTTTTCACTAAGACTAAAGGCAACTTCATACTGCAGTTAATCATTATTGAGTATTAAATCAATTTTAAATATGTTAGTTGTTGTGCCAAGGGATAGGATAGATTTCAAGTCAGATCATCAACTGTCATCATGTTGAGAGCTTTTGAAAACCAGTACTGGATAGCTGTTTCAATCTGAGTGATATGTTCAGTTTGTGTTATAAATCTAGCCTTAAATCAGTCGATCCTTTGAAAACTCATTCTCTGTTCATAAGGGACTAGCTGTGTGATGTGAACGTCTACCAGTTTTAGTAACAAGTGGTGACTAGTGTGACTAGTCCTTTGTATCGGGATATGTGATGGTGGATATTGGCGGATTGTTATGCGTATTGGCAGAAGTTAGAATTCCTCGGCCATCGAATTCTATCTACTCCAGTTATTCGTCTAGGTTCTGCCCCTGTTTATATATGTGTTAGTATGTATGCATTTCTTTCTTTCTATCTATTTCAGATCGCTAGTCTTGAAGTTCGTATGAATGAAATCAATGAATCCTTGCATAATTGTGTTACACGGAAAGAATTTGAACGTGCTACTGAACTGCGTGATGAGTGTAAAAGATTAGAGGCGGAACGATCACAGTTGTTACATGAATTACATGGAACTGTCCTTCCTGCTGTGTAAGTTTTTCTGTTGTTTTTTTTATGCTTAGTAGTTGATTGAGAAGCAGGCAGTTAATCTATGAGGTTATGAAGAAAGCTACATCGATTAAGATGACTAGGGTACAATTTTCGGGTTGTATGCCGAGCCATCGCCTTCCTCGACGAGTAGTAGTGTGTTAACTGACATAAGATTAGGTTGGAAAAGAGTTAGGAATCGTTAAGTTAAAACATGGCATCAATCCATAAAGTCTTGAGCTGTTGGTTTGAACCAATCACGTTTGGATATGTAGACCGTATGGCTGCTCAAGACGCTCGAGAACCAATGATTGCAGAATATTAAGTGATATGGCTCAAAACGATTCTGAGTAGTGCAAATGCATTCACTTCTGTGTAATTTCCAAGATCCACTAAAACCCCATCTTTTCCATGTTTCTACTCTCTCTCTCTCTCTCTCCCAAACATTCCTGTTCATAAAAGACAGATTCAGCGAAGAAAATTTTCTTTATCGACGAAATCATCTTCAGAGGCTGTACAATCGTATTTATACTTACAAAAATATATAGTGGTCTATTATTGAGTAATAGGGGGTGACATAATTGATATAATTACTCAGAAGTGGCTTTAGAAGTGAAAATTAGAAATTGAAAATTATGTGGTACTCAACGGCAAAAAGATAGAAATTTGATAAGGTTAAAATTGCCATTAAGTGAGAATAAAGGTATTTGAGTGTCAATTTAACAAGTGTGAAGAGGGTGTGAAAATATACAAAAGGAGCATATGAGAGTGATAATAGTGAATTAATTATTAAAGCAAAAGCTAACTATAAGTGAAATTAGAATGAAAATAAAAATAAAAAAATTTTTTTATTTAAAAGGAACGATTAGTGAAGAGGTTAAGACCAAGGTAGAATAAGAGACTGGACAAACTTTTTTTGTATACAGAGTTCAGGGTTGTATTGATGAATTGCTAGAGCCTCCGCCATACACAAAAGCCGAAACCTGACGCCCTTTGTACCATTTGGCTTCACTTTGTAGATGATCTTGAAAGACGATTCTGGTGGAGCTACGTGGCCTGAGTTCACCAAATGTTCGAGAATTGAGCTATTAATTGTCTTACATTGTCCCTTTGCTAACCATGCCGGATAATGCTCAGAGATGCGTTTGGAAAGCGTGCGCTTTGTGCGGCCAATATAACTAGCTCCACACGAGCAAGTGAATTTATAAACACACATTGAGGTGGCCCAAAGCGGCAGTTTATCCTTCACACACCCGTTGATCATTTGTCGGCTGTAGAAGTTGATACGTAGCTCAGCCATAAAGAAGGCTTTCCTCAGTGATCTGCATAAGCGATTCTTCAGGATCTCAGCTGCGGTATCACCTTTAAATTCGACACTCATAAACAGTAGTTTCTTCGGCACCGTCTGTATTCTTTCGGGTTTTTCCCTTGGCTTCATGTTTTTCTCGATGAATCTTGGAGGATATCCATTCTCTATGAGGACTTGTCTGAGTCTCTCCAGTTCCCCAACGATTGTATCACTTGAACATATCCTCCTTATTCTTGAGGATAAGGAATGGATCAGATTTCTCTTTCTTCTCAAAGGGACCCAGCTATGGAAATTTGTGTATTGACCATTCCATGTTGGTTTCCTGTAGATCGATCTTTGAAGAGAGCCATCCGATCTCCTCTTTAGAAAAACATCCAAAAAATGGAACCATCTGCTTTATATGCAAATTCATTGAGGATAATAACGTAGACGTATGTGTTCCGATCCACTACTTAAAGGAACTACTATTGAGGTGCACTCTAAATGTTCAGTTCAAGTTCAACAATACAATTTATAGACAAAGAGATGGTGTGGCAATGGGGTCACCATTGGGTCCTCTACTTGCAGACTGCTTCTTGGCCAGTTTGGAGAATAATACTTTACGGCCTACTATCGACAGCTTCCATCTGTACCAAAGATACATTGATGATACTTTCATCATATGTGACGACAATACCGACATCGAATTGATAACCAAAGAGTTCAACAGCTGCCATCATGCCATCAAGTTCACGTCGGAATCAGAGAATAACTCGGAATTCCATTTTTTGGATGTTTTTCTAAAGAGGAGATCGGATGGCTCTCTTCAAAGATCGATCTACAGGAAACCAACATGGAATGGTCAATACACAAATTTCCATAGCTGGGTCCCTTTGAGAAGAAAGAGAAATCTGATCCATTCCTTATCCTCAAGAATAAGGAGGATATGTTCAAGTGATACAATCGTTGGGGAACTGGAGAGACTCAGACAAGTCCTCATAGAGAATGGATATCCTCCAAGATTCATCGAGAAAAACATGAAGCCAAGGGAAAAACCCGAAAGAATACAGACGGTGCCGAAGAAACTACTGTTTATGAGTGTCGAATTTAAAGGTGATACCGCAGCTGAGATCCTGAAGAATCGCTTATGCAGATCACTGAGGAAAGCCTTCTTTATGGCTGAGCTACGTATCAACTTCTACAGCCGACAAATGATCAACGGGTGTGTGAAGGATAAACTGCCGCTTTGGGCCACCTCAATGTGTGTTTATAAATTCACTTGCTCGTGTGGAGCTAGTTATATTGGCCGCACAAAGCGCACGCTTTCCAAACGCATCTCTGAGCATTATCCGGCATGGTTAGCAAAGGGACAATGTAAGACAATTAATAGCTCAATTCTCGAACATTTGGTGAACTCAGGCCACGTAGCTCCACCAGAATCGTCTTTCAAGATCATCTACAAAGTGAAGCCAAATGGTACAAAGGGCGTCAGGTTTCGGCTTTTGTGTATGGCGGAGGCTCTAGCAATTCATCAATACAACCCTGAACTCTGTATACAAAAAAAGTTTGTCCAGTCTCTTATTCTACCTTGGTCTTAACCTCTTCACTAATCGTTCCTTGTAAATAAAAAAATTTTTTTATTTTTTCTTTTCATTCTAATTTCACTTATAGTTAGCTTTTGCTTTAATAATTAATTCACTATTATCACTCTCATATGCTCCTTTTGTATATTTTCACACTTGTTAAATTGACACTCAAATACCTTTATTCTCACTTAATGGCAATTTTAACCTTATCAAATTTCTATCTTTTTGCCGTTGAGTACCACATAATTTTCAATTTCTAATTTTCACTTCTAAAGCCACTTCTGAGTAATTATATCAATTATGTCACCCCCTATTACTCAATAATAGACCACTATATATTTTTGTAAGTATAAATACGATTGTACAGCCTCTGAAGATGATTTCGTCGATAAAGAAAATTTTCTTCGCTGAATCTGTCTTTTATTTTTCTTCATGACTCAATGGGTATTTTCGGTGATTCCTGTTCATAATAGCTTTTTTGAATGTCTTCCTTATTTTCTGTATTTTGTGTGCTGAATAGAATGTGGCAATTTGAGCTGATGCACGTCTGTTCAAAGTTCTGTGTCGAAACTGCGCTAATCAGTTAGATAGTTGGTACATCAGTTTCGTACTCATTGGCGGCTGACACTGGTCGTCAGCAAGGCGTATCTGAAACCTTCATGGGTTCTGTGTCGTCCATAAGCGCTATCACAGACATGCCATTGGGCTATTCGTGCTCATGATTGAGCTCTTGTAGGAGGGTAATAGTGGAGACATTGATTGGTCGCTAGAGTGTAACTAGTCCTTGCCTTTGATAGTGACTGAGTTCTATAACAGTTAAGTTCGCAGTGTATTCGCTATGGTGGGGGGGGGGGGCTACTTGCCTCTGCAGTGCACTTTGAATCGACGTTAGATGGTTAGATACAATCAGCAGTCAGTCTTCGACACCTAGGTTTCGTACGTGTTAACGGTCATTGTCATCAGGACTTACGATTTATATATGTAATAAGGCATAATTTTTGTAGAAGCCCCACGCAGGATTAAAAAGAATCGCATCAAATGAGCGCATAAGTAACTATGGAGTTTATCAAGTCCAAAATGACATTATAATCTGTAAGTGGAATTTATTGCCTAATAATAAAAGCAGTTCAGGGCGTTTGCATAAGCAGTATGATAAGGAAAAGTACATTAATCTGAACCCTAATCCAACTCCTCTTGCTGAACGATTGTTTTGTTGAATGAAGACTGCACTAACACACCCACTAGAAACTGAAAGTTATTCATATAACATTTGAACCTAGAGGCCTTTTGTTAAACAAGCTTAGCCTTACACAAACTGAGCCCTGGGCTATCAACTGGCTGCACTCTTACTTCTCTAATAGGATGCAGTACACGGTATATAATGGTGTATCTTCCTCTCCTTTGCTCATTGAAGCTGGAGTTCCTCAGGGTGCTGTTCTCTCTCCGTTTCTCTTTTCCTTCTTCTTACATGACTTACCTCTTTCAAACGAAATCAACTTCCTCAAATATGCAGATGACCTGACTGTTTCGCTTCCCATTAAGTCTCAGTCAGACTGTTTCAAATTAAATAGCTTCCTGTCGGACATCAGTCAGTGGTCTAAACTAAATGGCCTCATGCTGAATCCCTCAAAATGCCAGACTATTGACTTCTCCCTTAGGCATAAACGAGATCTACAAACACTAGTAAGTACTCATGAAGCCTGTTGCATTGAGGGGACTAAAATTGAAACTAAGTCTAATGCAAAATACCTCGGTCTAGTTCTATCTTCCGACCTTACTTGGACATCTCATATCCTAACGATTTCTAAGAAAGTGTTCTGTCTAACCTACTACATTAAGAAACTAAGACAATCTGGAATCACCCAACCTCTACTTTCACAATTTGTCAACTCTTGTATCTTACCTATTCTACTTTACTGCTCCCCGTTAGTCTTTCCTGGTCTACTGAAAAAGGACTATACCATCCTGAGAAGGATGTTGAAGGTAGTTAGTAGGACTAGTGGTGTAAAACTCAGTCAGCTCGTCACTACATTAGTTGAAAGGCATCTGAATACATGCGAAAAATGGTCAAAAACCATACTCTCCGACCCCCAACACCCCCTCTATTCCCAACTCTCGCCTTGTATCTCATCAGGTAGAACCAGAAATCAGTACAAAATAATTTATGCTCGTACAACCAAGTACAGGAACTCAACGATACCATACTTGGCCCGTGTTCTAAGCGACAGAGACAATGTTAAGCACGAAACCTATGACTTGCTTTGTTGTTAATAACATAATTTTAGGCTCTTTTATTTCTCTCTTATTTTGTATTCTATAGTGAACTCCTTCTTAAACATACTTAGCTACCTAAATTATTAACATTGGCTTACTTTTTGTACTTTACTGTATTTCCTTCTTTTGTGTATCTACTGGTTCCGACTATATTAGCACTATGAGTATTACAAAATTTGTCATTAACCATCATGTAATTATTAGTTTTGTGGTTGTTTTTTCTTATTTTTTATTTTTTTCGGCAATATTAACTGACATTCACCGGCTGTGAACGCCATTGTCACCACCTTAAAATTTTGTATTATGCAGGATTACTCACACTACCACTACAAACACTGCATTAGACCTGACAAAAAAAAAACAACCCTGAAATGTTATTTTATGATTGTTTAGAGTTGTTTCAACCAAATAACTGATCATCTTGGCGATAAACATTCTTAGATATCATTTCATAACTTCTTGTATGTCTGTAGCTTTACTGTCACCATGCATAATCATATCATAGCTTCCACTACCCAATACTGAGATATTATTTTATGTTGTTTATTCTCCTTTCTACTTCTTGGTATTTTTTTCGCATTTAAAAAAACTTTGTGTTTTTTGTTGTTGTTGTTGTCTTTATATTTATTTTTTGAAATACTCCTTTTAAATGTTTGGTAAAATTAGATGCAAATATTGTAGATATGTGCTGAAAATTCCACACTGTACCACTAGTACTGTTTCTGGAATAAAGCAAATTATTATTATTATTAAGATGTCCGGTTTGATATTCTTGCACTTCCTTGAACATCTTTTCCTCCCCTAATTGACCTGGCTTAGTCTGTTTAACCATTCGTTTACTCAATATTCACGGTATATCTATTGAAATTCTACTTTCCTGTTATATGTATTGTTAGCTAACAAAGTGCGTATTTGTGTAAGAGAGCTAATGAGGACTCGAATTGGTTGACTGATGCTGTCATATAATTAAGGAGATTGATGACTGTAGTTGGTGGAAGGTGCTGTCTCACTTTGCTTTGAGAGTAAATTTACGTAATTACAATGGGTGTGTTGAATTCATCGTAATATGTTGGTTGATTAGTTATAACAATACTCTTCTACATTTTGGTGTCGTGTACCTTTTACAGCACCAAAATTTGTGTATACTAATAATGATAGTTACTATTATTAATAAAACAAAATTGGTACATTATAGCTACAAAAAATTGTCTGATACTTTGTGACAGCGCTGGAATACTGCTGAAACGCACGCGAATTGAAACAGGTTGTTACTTTAACAGGTCACTCCAGAGCCTGTAACTGTAAGTCTGATCCACATGACAGTGGAGCAGCGTCAAGATTTGCAATCTAATGGTTTCTGATGACCGAAACAGGTTCATACCGGTCCTTTGGATTATGGAGTCCATCTGCAACGTAGGTTTGGATTCAGGGGTCTCCAGATCCTTTAGGTAGACCCGCATATCCTTCAGCTGCTGACTTACACATACACATGTGTGTAGTTCTCAATAAAATGGTTGTTTGTCACATGTTTGTATCTGTCTCATTATAATAAAGTGTATGTGTCTATAATTGAAAAGCATACAATGTGTGAATTTAGATTGGTCAATTTGTATGACACCTTTATCATAATTAGAAGATCCCCTGTGGGTTTATGAGTGTGTACTAATGAAGAGTCTCAAACAAGGTGGACAAAACAACTTTCTGATACTCCTTGGGATGGGGGTCCAGTGGTGTTCTAACAGGTGTGTCGATCTGTGGTCAAACCTGAAACACAGAAGAACTGATTTAGAAAAAACAGTGTGTTTAAAGATATCAGGACATGCTGACAAGAGATATCACAGTCCAGAGAATAAACAAGGGAGAATCTAGAAGTAGAAGTATACAGTGAATTAATCGAAACAAAGACCAAATAGTCACACAATACCAAACAAAATAACATCGAAAATACACTGCAACATTAGTCTGGAGAAGAATACAATAGAAATGTCTATTGTTATCATTTTCATCTGAAAAATATATCTAAATCTGATTCCAAATACCAACAGCAACATTTCCTCAGGAATCTCAAGAAAAATCATCCGCCCATATGTATATATGACTCCTAAATTTATTTATTTATTTTATTTTTATTTTGATTACAGCTTGATTCCACACCGTATTTTCAGTACAAGTGTGGAATTTTCAGCTTGGATATCGGTAGCCCAAATTTACAGGCCGACCATAGATATCGGGTGTGCGCCGGCAAGGGATCAAACCCCGGACCATATGCATGGTCGGCGAGCGTCCTAACCACTATGCCACTATGACACACACACACACATACAGACCAGCAAAGCAACCACTTCAATCAATATTTATGCAGATCACAAGATGAACACATCGTCTACGAAAAATATATTGTGTAATCTCTGTGTGGTGAGTGTACATCGGTGGCACAGTGGTAAAATGCTCGCCAACTACACATTTAGTCCGTGGTCTGACCCCACTACGATGTATTCCACTACTTCGCTAGGCCAATAATAATACTTGTAAACAGGGAAGGTTGGAGGACATGTGACTAGCAACCCCATCTCGTAAAAATAAACATCACTGCTACCGAAACTTCACGCCTCTAGCTTGAAACCTTATGCTCCACTGGGAACGTAAAGGAATTAAAAAAATAAATGTGTGGTGAACAGTATTATAATGGTCAATAATATATAGTCATAATACATATATATATTTATATATATATCCGTGTGTCTTCTATGTTTTTGTGATCAATATAGGACAGAGAACACTACCCCGTCAGATGGTGAACAGAAAGTATCTGTTACTACTAATAGGTATGATAATTCCGGTACCAGTGTGAAACGTGATGTCGATGGCAATAGTGTTGGCAATGGGAGTAAAAATTATATGCAGAAAGAAGAGGAAGTGGAGGACGACGAAGCAGAAGAAGATGCTGAACCTGAAGATGACGATCCAATCAAGCGTTGTTCCCCAGTTGTTTTACACAAAGCAAATAGATTGGCTGCTTTACTTATTCAGCAATCACCTACACTATGGACTCTACCTGCTTCATTACGTTCATTATTAGATACACTGGTATGTGATTCTTTTTAATTAATTGTTTATGTCTTACAAGTGAAGAACTTTGGAGGGTGAAGGTTTCAATCTTCAAGCACTTTGAAGTTTTGAGTAACTGTTGTGGCGATTTGTGTTGTGCTGTTTCCTACGTGATGGTGTTGTTAGCCTTCCCTTTCTATTGGTTAAGATGGGTTTAATAATGCGTCGTCGGTGGTCGGGAATCGAAACTGTACCCTGTGCGTTAGTGGTTGACGAGCATTCTACCACTAAAAACTGAACTAACGACGCTTTAGTAATAATAATAATAATTTGCTTTATTCCAAAACAGCACTTATAATACAGCTTGGAATTCTCAGCATTTTGTACTATATTGATTGCATCTAATCTACTCAACAACAACAAGAACAAAACGAAAGATAATAATAATAATACAGGGTATATATGTAACCAGGATGATAATAGCAGTAACAATACCTCCAAAAATGTTCAAAAATCGTAATATAATGATAATAATGTTAGCAGCTAAAATTATTAATCACGTGAATTAGTGTCACCGTAAATTACAAATAGGATAGCATAAAAGAGCCAATTATTTTGCTGATAACATGGTAAATAGTCGATTTCACACCCGACACTATCTCTGTCACAAAGAACGAGGGCAAAATAGGGTTCTTGTTGAGTTTTTGTACATAGCCGTGTGAGCATATAATCTTTTATAATGACTTCCAGTCCTATGTGATGAGATGCTAGAGGGGACGGGTTGAGAATAGAGAAGGTGTGTTGTGAACAAGACAATGTTGATTTATACCATTTTTTCTTTACTTTAGTTTAGGTGTCTATCAACTACAGTAGTGACGAATGATTAATGACACGCTACTTGCCCTATTGAAAACGTTTAATGCCCTACTGAATATGACAGTCATTTTTGATTAGCCGAGGAAAGACTAAAGGGAAACAGTAAAGTAGGATAGGTAAGATGCAAGAGTTAACACCCTGTAAAAGTAGAGATTGAGCGATTGCTGATTGCTTTAACTTCTTAATGTAGAATGTTAGATGCAATATTTTCTTAGATATCAATAGGATATGGGATGACCAAGAAAGGTCAGTTGATAGAACTATGTCAAGGTATTTTATGCTTGACTTAGTTTCTGTTTCAGTGCCGTCTATGCTACAAGCATATCTTGTGAACGGACCAGTTCGTTTAGATCACTTTTATACCTAAAGGTGAAGTTAGCTGTTCGATTTTGAAGGAATTTAGCTTAAGGCGTTTTATTTTAGACCACTGACTGGTGTCCGACATCAAGCTATTAAGTTTGTCACAGTCGGATGGGGGATATAACTGGCAGCGAGACAGCCAGGTAGGTCTTCAGCATATTTAATGAAGTCGATTTCATTTGATAGAGGCATCTTGAGAGACTCCAGCTTCAATAAGCAAGACAAAAGATTTGCCCTTAAATGCAATATACTTAATCCTGAAGGGAGATTAATAAGAATGCAACTAGTTAACAGCGTAGGACTCAGTTTGTGTGCGAGGAAGTTTATTTAACAAAAGGCTCCGGGTACAGAGTCAAAAGCAAATTTTATAGTCAAGGGAGGTACGTCGGGCATATATATTTAGCTCCTTTGTCTAAGGTGGCCTTAAACATGGGAGTTGATTGCTTTTTTAGCTACTTGAAATAGAATCAGTATTAGTGTCGTCTTAGCAGCTATCGATCGGGAAATTACTCATTACCATACTCTAGAATTGTTTTCTCTATTAATGAGATTTTATTTCGAACAATAAACATCATTCGTTCGTTCCTCGTATTCCTCTTCTTTGTTGTCAATTTTTAGATATTACCGAGTATTCAGCATACGGAATCTAGTGTTCGTAATCAAGCAATCCTCGCTCTAGGCTTATGCTGTACAATGGATTTACCCTTAGCAATGCAGTATATACATGTTTTCTATTCAGTGAGTTTCGTACTGAATGTTTGTTTGTCTGTTTGTCTGTGTGTGTGTGTGTTTGTTCACCCATTTTCAGATTGATAATTTCGTTATATGCCTCTCCAAATTGCTATTATAACAGTAACTTACTGTAGTGATTCTCTGAATTAAGCCTGTCTTTGCAAAAGCTGCCGCCTACTCAAAGCAATATATTAATAAGTTGTATCATTCTAGTGGGACTATAGGATACTGTGGAAGCAAAACTTCGACGACAAGATGTTAGATTCAGGAATTGCGAATCATGTGTGTGTATGCATTGATCAAATTGCATCATCATCATCATCGAATAGAGCCTTGAATGGAAGCTGACCTTTTTACTTCAACTTCATTGACGACTTTAAATAGGCCTTTAATAGCGTTGACCGTGAATTAATTTGGAATTAATTTGATTTAACACTAATTTTAACGACACTGGCTCCCTTCGCCACGTTGATGCTGAAGAACGGATAGCCAAACTGGTCAGAAAGGGGTATGCAACAAGGAACTCCTTGGACACACGAATAAAGAATCTATCTTCCAGTCAACAAATGTGTTGAAAAGAACACGGGGATAGACGAGTTGGAAATAAACTGAGGAGATATCTGGGTGACATGACGCGCCAAATGATCACTCAAGTTGAACCAGAATGAAAAGCGGCGATTCGGGCGTCGGACTGAAGATGACATAGAGAAGATTGTGTGAGGAGTAAATGAGAGTCTATAGGCAATCGTGGAGCTAGTTTTAAAAAAAAGGGCTGCAGAGAACAGATTCGAATGGGATTGTGGTACTCACTCGGAATCCAGTGTATTAGGTATTCGATCCGTTTAAATATGCTCCCATTAGTTTAGTATCTGGTTTTCGAAGTTCATTTTGATATGACCAAGTGGATTTAGGTGTAGGTGGTAGGTATGTAAGCCATCCAAAGCCTCAGGATGGTCGGGGGTGGGTGCCTTGCGCTGCGGGTTGGCCACCCCTCCGCACACCTCTTGAAATGCTCCCATATGACCGGGCGTCTTACATAGCCTCTCCTGAGGAAGTTCTACTCACTGTCTTCACGTGGCGGAGGTGTTTTTCACCAAAGTGAGAGGGCGAAAGCGGATGCCCGGCGCTCTTCACCGGGTTGACTGTCCATTGGATGACAGTCTAGGGGAGATGGCTAAACCCTGATTCCAAACCTCCAACGACTGGCGTATGAAGCTCACTGGAGCTCACCGGCAGACGTATGGACAAAGGGCTTGTTGGATGTCCTGGATGTCTGGCCCCATTCAAAAAGGCGTATGAACCGAACTCCGGTCACCGGCTGCCAATGGATAGTGGACTCCCTACTCCACTCCTACTGCCTTGTAGGTCACACTTGGTTGTGTAAAGGCTAGAGCTGCACTCTCAAACAAAAGGCCGAGCGATTCTGGGGACATCACTCGTACCAAATTCCCATGAAACTTCATGAACTCTCTTACAAACCTTGCATCAGATCGCCGCGCCTGGGCAGCGATGATTCGAGATGTTCATGAAGCCAGCTCATCCTCCCGTAGGAGATAGCCGAAGTAAAGTAAAGTAAGTAGGTATGTAATGCATTACTCGCTATAGTTGATGAAACAACCAACACGACTATTGTTCTCCATAATTTTCTTCTTGTTATATTTGTTGAATCTTCACAGACGGATAAGGCTCACAATGATAATGGACACTTGATTATTTCTTAATAGATTTTACCTGACCCCCGAATTGGTAATTTTTATGAAGGCACTTGAAAATTTTTTAGGAGAAATGTATTCTCAAACAACAAGTGAGTGGGCGGTCATATCATGTATCATGAATTTCTGGACAGTTAGAACTCATGGGTTATCCCAGTGTCTCCGACTTGTATCCTAAATTTCCTTAGTTCGATTTCTGATAAGTTCATGAATTTTTACTGCTGAATAGTTCCAGAATAGGACGAAACAACTGGCTGTCTGGTGGTGGTAGTCTTAGTGCAGTTTGGGAACCAAGAGATGCACCACACAAAATCTCATTTATATATGATAACGACGCATGCCAAATTATTATACGCCCAATGGCTCCACGGGAACAATGAACAATGATAGTAGTTGTTGACTGTGCTGTTCTCTCATTCTGCTTAACCTTTTCTTCACGTGTATATCTTACTCATGTAACTCTCTTTTATTCTCTATATAGGCTATGCGTGTAGATAATGTGACGATAAGTGAAACAGCCTTGGGCTGTATTATTGATTGTTTACTGTTATATGGATTTCGTCCATTTCATGATGCCAATATTAATTTGAATGCACGTTTAGCCTCAACAGACACAATTATTCTTGATGACGATGATGAAGATGACAGTGTAGTCTGTAAGTGTCTTTTTTTTCGTTACTTGTTCAATTTCATCATAGATGGACTAATGGAATTGACTGATCCTAACTGACTTTAGTGGTTTAGGAATTAACTTGTTACCATAGCACAGTGTCTGGTGAACTCGTTGAGTATTGCAGATGATATTGTATTCCTAGGTGAAGACACTGATAACATAAAGAGACTTTGGAATATTTGGTAGGCGATACTCTCTCTTATCAAATGTAGGATTATACTTCGGGACTGGACCACACTCATACACCTAGAATGAAGGTAGAGAGTAAAGCAATTGAATGAGTACACAACTTCATTCGTTTGTAACGTTTCATTAGGCCTAGTGAATGAACTGACTGTTGACGAAATCACATAACAGATGCAAAACGCCTGATGTGATAATTCGCCAGCTCACGTCATCTCTGGTGTTGACGTGATATTCGTCTATCGATCAAAGGATGCGTGTACTGTGCTGCACCAGTTCGATTCGTCTTCCTTTATGGCTGTGAAATGTAACCATTGAAAGTAGATATGAAAGGGATAGTTGTCTTTGGTCATAGGTGTCTGCGTTCTGTCTCCTATGTTAAGTGATGATATGTTATGGTGACTGATATTGAGGTAAGGCATAATGTTATACCAGAGCAAGCAAGCCAATCGACTGTAGATGGCTACGACACGCTAAGCGCCTGCCATGCCATTGCCTTCCTTATCGAGCAGTGTTATCTGACATAAGAATTGGTTGGAAAATTGTTGTGTATTAGTATTATTATTCTCTAGGATTCTGAGGGGAACGACAGCACATCTTCATTTTGTCCTGTCTTCTGCAATTCTCTATAGTCGGCTCCACGATTGATCATAGACTCTCATTTTCTCCCACATAAACACGTCCATGTCACTCTCGAATGCCGGACTCGTCTCTCATTCGGTTTCCACTCGAAGTCACTTAGTGGTCTCCTCAGTATTTTTCCGATCCATGTCCACTTTCTTTGGCATATTTTTTTGAGCAATAGCTTCTTGATTGTTATGTTCCTGGAGTTCCTTGTTGCCAATTCTTTCTGATCGTGTGGTCCACAGTATGGAGAGCTGTTGATAAAAGTGTGAAACCTGTTTGAAATGCTTTTTGTCTCGCGCTAAGTTTCTGATCAACATAGAAAAACTGACTGATTTGATACTCTTGTTGAAAATCTGAATCTTCTTTGTTTGTGCTAACTGCAACAGATCCCATCATATTAATGAGATCTGTCTATTATGATTTTTCTACTTTCTTCTCTTGCTTTGTGTACTACTGGAGTGTGGCGACTTGAACTGCCGCACATATGTGCAAAGTTCTATGTCGAAAACCGACCGACCGAGATCTGTCTTGCCTTTCTGATCCTGGCCTTGATATCTTCATACGAGCCGCTTTTAGTTGAAAGCGTGCTGCATAGATAAGTGAAATAAATGACTACCTTGAAATTCCTCTCCCCTTGTTGATAGCGATTGGTCCTTCTTGTTGTTTTTCGGTTAAGTGTTTTCATCACCACTGCCTTCTGTCTGTTTACTTGAAGTCCTGTGCCCGCTGGTTTTTCTACCACCTTTTTGGTTTTCGCCTGTAAGTCGTCTATTTTTTGTGACATTAGACATTAGTCGTCCACGAACTACAAGTCTTCTAGAGTGTACTTACCGGTCCAACGTATTCCTGTAATCATATGCAGTCTTGTTCTACTCCTGCATTTACTTCAAATGGTTCACTGGGCTTTTCGTTGTGAATTACATGGCATCGTCGTGTAACTGTTCAATGATGTTTATAGATGTTTCGCGCAGTACACTCCATGATGTCTAAGTAGTTTGCAAACTGATTTACGGTCGACTCTATTGTGAAGGCCTTTTCAAAGTCGATGAAGTTAAAACTGAGAGACATTTGACTATCATTCTATAATCTGTTCGATGATGGCGCGTAGAGTTGCAATCTGATCAGCACATGGTTTGCTTTTTCTGAATCCAGCTTGTTCCGGTGGCAGAGGAGTTCTGCATCTGGTGCATCTTTTAGTTTCTCCAGGATGACGTGACTTAGTATTTTGTTTGGCGTTGATAAGAGCATGATTCTACGCCAGTTCTTGCTGAGACCTAAGTCGTCCTTTTCGGTAGTTTGACAACTTAGCCTTTTTCCAATGAGCTACACCTTTCTTTTCTTCCGAACCGTTTTCATTAGTAGCCTGAGCTTGTGATCTCTGAATTCATTTACAATGCGCTAGGAAGAATTCCGTTCGGTTCTATTGCCTTCCCGGCCTTCAGTAGCTTGATTGTATTCAAACTGCTGTTCTTTTTGGAGGACTTGTATCCACTGGCAGTTATGCGGCTGTTGGGTGATATTTCTGGATTAGCTGCAGGAAGTGATCCGTTCAGGACTCCCACTGTTCTCTCTGTTTTCCTTTTTAGTAATTAGGTTTGCTTCGTTATCTTTCATTGATTTAATGTGTGTTGGTCTCTTCCAGAATAGAGACCTGGTTATCTAATATTATGAGGTCTCTTTTGGCCTCGGACTATTCTACTTTATTTGTCAACGTGTCGTAGAATTGTCTTTCCTAGCGCTCTTCACTTCATTCAATGCGTTGTGCATTGAACTCAGCTTCTCCTTTTGTTGTCAATTTTTGCGTTAGTTTATTTTCTGTTTTACCATAAGCCTCTCTATTATCTTCCAGATGTCCTTAGAAAGTCATTCCTTGTCTCACCTGTTTCTTTCTAAAACGTCTCTACACGTTTCCTTGAACAGCGCTTGGAGAGGGTTCCATTGCACTTCCACACAGGTTTCATCATTGATGCCACGCAGTGTCTCTGACTTTGCTCTGATGACTGCATTATAGATGTCCTTTGTAGTTTCGTTTCTTTCTTAGTTTTTGAATGTTGAATTTGAGTTGTGTTCTGTCCCCAGTTGTTCTGAAGGGTTTGAGCTTCGCCTTGAAGGTTCCTTGAACTAGATGATGGTCTGAGCCCACATCAGCTCCCATTCTCGACTTTGTATCCAGCAGACTAACTGCGTCTCCACTTCCTTGAGATTGAGATGAAATCTGTTTGGTTTGTGGTATGTCCATCAGGCGAAATCCATGTTGCTTTCTGTCATATCCTTGTGTTTGTACTCGCTCCCTCCGATCACCAAATCGTTGAAAGAGCAGAAGTCTGCGAATAATTCTTCATTCTTATTCAGATCTTCTAGAGCCTCTCGACCCATAATGAGTTCTCTTCCTGTTTTGTCTGCTCCCAGCTTGGGATTCATGTCGTGCATAAGGATTTTGAAGTCTCCATTTGCGATGTTGTCCATTATTTTTTGCAGTTGTCTGTAGAAATCTTCCTTCTCTCGTTCCGCGTTGTTTGTAGGTGTGTAGCGCTGGATAATTGTGACCTTTCTACCTTTATAGTTGATTCTTGCTGTCATGATCCTGAAGGAGATTGGTTCTCACTGCATATGAGACTTTGATGCTATTGGTGACATCATTATGGCCACTCAGTGCCTCAGTGTGCTCGTGGTTGTCGTCTGGGTGACGGAAGTAGGTTATTGACTCTCCATTTGATAATTTGGATTGTTCATGTCGATCGCACCTTCTTTTATAAATTCTTAGCATTTCTGTGGCATATCTTCTGATTTGTTTTGCAGTTTGAACGACCTTCCTAGCTTCGTACATCGTGCGGACCTTCCACGTCCCCCTGCTTCTTTTTGGTTTCACCGAAAGAAGATACATCAACTGACTGGCTTCCCGGAGACTTTCATCATCCTGTGTCCTTCTGTCTCTCCGATTCTAGCGAAGAACAAGTTTCTATTTTATATTTTTGTTGTGCTTTGAAGTTTCTGTAGCGATTGGGTTGATTTTCCTGGGTGGGGGCGCTGGTCTTACACTCAACCTTGCCCATTTTCCTGAGATTCTAACCGGCTAGAAGACTGGTGAACTGGGCGAAGTTGGCATTAGGTGTTCCATGAGCTGATGCAAAGTAGGAAGCGCACAGAGAATATTCTTGTTGTGTTTAAAATTAGTTCTCAATGGTATAGATGCATTCACTCTTTGTAATCTTCCTCACGTTTTCACGTGCTACCACTTTTTCTTCCGCACATTTCTGCTCATTATGGACTCTTTGAATCTCTTGTTTGATTGGAGTTTAGAAGCTTGAAATGCTGTGCTTAAGTGGAGTGTGTTCTATGTTGAAACTAAGAAGTCACTCAGTTTTGGTCACTATTTTAAGCACCATCGCAATGGAATCATTGTTTCTGTTGAACCTATGTCAATCCATTTTGATGGTATCATGACGTTCTTGTGTATCCTCTTTTTCTTGGAATGTAACAGCTTGAATTGGCACATGTCTGATCAGCATTTTTTTCGTTAGTTCGTTAGTCATTTGGTTGTTAACATCACTAAGCCTATTTGTTTCGCCTCATTCTCTTCTGTTTACTCCTCAAAATTCCCTTCAGCAGTTCAATAGTTCTTATTGTTGCCCTTCTAGACGACGATGTATTCATTGTCTTGAACTCCATGTCCACATTTTTACTACAGATCACTACTGAGAATTTGTAACTGGTAGGAAAATGTAGTAAAATTACTGTGATCTATACCTTACGGATGGTTATTTTTCTCGTGATATGTACAAATGTGTACTGTTTTATTTTATAATTTGCCTGAAAAGAGTGTCTGTTTATTTTCCCCTTACTACCTCTTTTTACAGCTTCACATGATTACGTTGTATTAGCGCGACAAACGTGCGGAGATTCAGTGGTATCTGGGAATCAGTCTCATGCTTCACAGAGTAAACTGGTTCGGTGTAATGAAATGTCCAGGACAGCTTATCGTCTGTTGAAGCCAATTACTTCAATTTTAGAAAAAGAAGTAAGTGTAGTGCACTGTTGTGATAAATTAGCTGTTGTTTTGTGCATACTATTTAGTTTGATACTACTACTATAATTGGGTTCCGGATGGAACATATGATTTCGCTTGGACGTTTACAACTATACTCTAATCTCTCTGTTGTCATTCTCATCTAGCTCCACGACTGTCGACACAAACTTTCATTTTCTCCTCTTCACATGTGATGATCACCACCATACCAATAAATAATCTTAGACGACGCCCAACTCGTTGCTCACTTCTCATTCAGGATGGCCTACACGATGGCCTGTTTAATATATGATGTCACTCAACGCTCTTTCCGACGTTAATTTGCTGAGTAATTGCTTATGGATTGATTTGCAACACTTCAGGAGTTCCTTGTAGCTAGCTGGCTTATCAATATCGATCCGGAGAGAAGGCAGGTAGTGGTTAATGAAAGTTTACAGTAGCCTGTTGGTAGTGTTTCTGGTGAGACGTGCACACCAAACCTGTTGACCGTATAGAGAAGCATCACTCACTCTTCATTTGTATTGAAAATCCAAGTCTTCTTTCTTATACTAAGTGATGAACCCGAACTTCTACCTTAATGATTATTCGTTTAAGCTTGACTGACTGCTTTTATTTTTGATAGTGTGAGGTTAGAATGTGTATTGCCATTCTTATGATTTACAGATAAGTTAGGTATGCTCACGTATGTGGTTCGTTTATACGGATACAGTTAATACTCTCGGATGTTGTGAGTGATAATCAGAGAATTTTCGTTTGCTCATAGAGGTATGTGGAATGTGACTTTTTCTACTTCAGTGACCTTGAAACAGAAGAAGAATTAGTCTTATTTGACTTTAGAGTCTAGGAGACTATTATTTAAAACCTATAATTTTGGAATTGGATTTTAGGGTCTTGTGTGTATGAATGCCTAATGCACTGGCTATGAAACACTGCAATTTGGTATTTACCATCTTTCGGTGCTGATATCTATTGATTAACCTTATGGACTCACTGATTACCCCTGCTGTGTTATTGCTAAACATGAAATATCCGCCTCGTTTGATTTCGTCTGAATTGTAACTCCTCAGCTATACCACAATCACTGATCGTGTTCCATTTCCTACTTAGACCCGATACCAATATTTTATCCACTGAGCTATTGTGCGTTTGCAATGCATACCAGATATTTTCTTTTCTCCCGTGTTGAACTGACCGGAATCCTTTGTCTCTGTTGAGCATATGACCTAAAGTGTTATTATTCCCTTGGGTTCCTAGTGGAACACAGGGCTTTTCAACAACACATCTCAATTTTCTTCTATTTTCTGCCATCCCCTTCATCTGGGTCCACGATTGCCACTAATCTCCCATCTCCTCCTTACACGATCTCCCCCATGTCACCCTAGGATTACCCACTTGTCGTACATATGTATTCCGACGTGGCCTTCGAGGTAGAATGTATGTTACTTTATGTCATGTCAAAAAGTCAGTCTTTTTATAAATTGTGCACAAATCACCCAGAACAGGCTACTACAAATTTCTATTTAAACCTACCCTCTTCGGTGCCTTGATTCCGAAGATCAAATGACCAGCTGACCAGAATGGATAAGCAAGCAACATTAAGCTTCTCTGAGAGCATAAGAATTAATTGGCGACTAATGGAATAGAATGAATATACGCCGATGAAATGAGACAGTTGGAGAAGTTTATGTGAATAGGAGCAAAATCAAAACTTGTAAGGGTTAGAGGAAAGCAGTCTTTGAGCCAGATGAACAGGATGGCGGAGAAATAGTGTGTACGGTGCTGATGAGACCACATGATCCATGCGAAATACAAGCACGGAATAGTAATCCTCTTTGCTTGATCGTGGATTGATACCGGTTATAGGACCACTAGGGACAACTGCTTCGTCGTGCCCTCACGTGACTCCTTGGGTCAAAACCAGGATCCTTAGGTTTCGTGGGGCGAGTTCTTTGACCATCCGGTCACTGGGAGGGCGACCAACAGCCCATGAATTCTAACTTCTGTCAGTTTACGATTTTTACTCATACTGATAGTCAGTGTCATCAGCGAGTATTTATCCTCACATCCCACCTTGTGATGGATTCCACTAATCATGACTTCATGGGGCATCGTGTTCTGTCCCAGTGGCTGAATGGTCCACGAGTTGGACTTGTAACTTGAAGGTCCTGGGTTCTATCTCTTGCGGTTGGGTGATGGATGCGTACTGCTGAAGTAAAGTCCTAAATTAAGAGGGGGAAACAGCTCCCCAATACTTCCTGTCGATGGTTTTCGTTGATTCTCTAACTGTTGTGTCAATCCACGATATCAAACTTGCGATAATATTATTATAAAATGATTACTGTAATGATCCGATATTTGTTTGATTATTTTTTGTGATAGGATTGTGCAGAATTACGTTCACCTTGTGCCCTTGGTCTAGCTAAGCTCTTGATCTATGATCGTATTATATCAAGTCAAATACTCAGTCTGTTAATACTACTCTGGTTCAACCCACTTAGTGCTGAGACACCGAAACTTCGTCGTGGCTTAGGCTATTTCTTCTCTGACTATGTCTGCGCTCATGGAGGGAATCGATCAGGGGCTTTAGAGCACCAGTTAGCTATCGCTGATGCTGTCCTTCCCACACTGACTACATTGATTCGTGCACCAGCATCATCAACATTGTCGGAAGTGGATCCATACGCTGTCGCCTGTCTACTGGCTCGATTAACTGATACCACTCATTTGTTGAAAGCTCATACAGAAAAAGATAAACCTGACATCTCTACGGTCTTGTCTGGTACAAAAGAGAAAGATGATGAAGATCGAGAAGGCGAAGAACAAGAAGGTGGTGATGATGAACAGTTGAATGCCAATGAATCAAAGCCGGTATCACTTGTTTCAGAGGATGAGAAAATTGTAAGTTTTATATGCCGTTAATAATGATTAAAAATGATTGCGTTGTTTCATGTTGGAATATGGTTTAATTCTGAGTTGTATCGTAGTCTGGGATAGTCTTAAGGCGTTCACACATACTCACATCCTCACTCACTGGCTTCCAAAAAGTTTAATACTAATATATCTGTTTAATTTCATCATAGATGTACTTACTAATGGACTTAACCTCCAAAGCCTCAGGATGGTCGGGGGTGGGTGCCTTGCGCTGCGGGTTGGCCACCCCTCCGCACACCTCTTGAAATGCTCCCATATGACCGGGCGTCTTACATAGCCTCTCCTGAGGAAGTTCTACTCACTGTCTTCACGTGGCGGAGGTGTTTTTCACCAAAGTGAGAGGGCGAAAGCGGATGCCCGGCGCTCTTCACCGGGTTGACTGTCCATTGGATGACAGTCTAGGGGAGATGGCTAAACCCTGATTCCAAACCTCCAACGACTGGCGTATGAATCTCACTGGAGCTCACCGGCAGACGTATGGACAAAGGGCTTGTTGGATGTCCTGGATGTCTGGCCCCATTCAAAAAGGCGTATGAACCGAACTCCGGTCACCGGCTGCCAATGGATAGTGGACTCCCTACTCCACTCCTACTGCCTTGTAGGTCACACTTGGTTGTGTAAGGCTAGAGCACTTCAACATTAACTCGAATTGACTTCTGCGGATCAGGGATTGATTTGTTACAAGGGGATAATCTTTTTGACTTAGAATATGCAGATGATATAGAGTCATCCCACCAACGTGAAGACGCTGACAAAATGCAGAGTCTTCTGAACACCTTGAGGAGAAGCAATCTTCGAATGTTTGACATGCGATTCGCTCCCGTCAAATGTAAAATGATGTTACAGGATTGAACTACATTGACTCCTAGCTTAGAAATAGGGAGTGAAGTGGTTAATGGAGCGTGTTGACCACTTCACTTATTTGGGAAGTCGTATCAGCCAGTGCCAGTGGGTTGATCGCTGACGAAATCTGAGCACAGATACAGAAGGCTCATTTAGCATATGTCAGCCAGCTTACGCCATCTCTGGCTTAGTAGACGTGGTATCTGACTGTCGACCAAATGTACTGAGTACTGCTCAGCGCAGCAGTTCGCTTTGTCCTCCTTTTTGGCTGGGTGTCAGATATGACCATTGAGAGTGGAAGACATGAAAAGGCTAGCTGTCTTTGATCATAGGTTTCTGCGTCCTATCTACATCCCGTGTTCGGTGGTATAATAGGGTGAGCAATATTGAGGTTGGGCATCGGTGGTCGAGTGCTAGGTAGGTTGGGAGGGGAAATCAGTCTATGAAGTTACATCGATTGTGAAGGTTAGGACATCGCCTTCCTCAACCGACGGGCAATGTTAGCTTACATAGGATGGATCAGGTTTGAAAAGAGCTGCTAGTAGTGGTCAAACCAAAACACGGCCTCACCAGTCAATGAAATCCATAACAGTTAGTTTAAGCCAGCCAATCACGTAGGGAAGTGTAGAATTCTTGATTGGTTGGGACCCTGAAGGATGGTAAAAACCAATGCAGGCTGGAGACAATTGGTGATATGGCTCGAAATCGTCCTCAATGACACAGATGCATGGAGTGTGGCAACTTGAACAGCTGCACGTCTGTGCAAAGTTCTACGTTGAAGTCAAGGCTTCAGACTTGACCTTTGAAGATTGATTATCAGTGGTGTTGCTTCTCTATACAAGGTAGGGTTGCTAAACTCACGTCTAACCTTCTCTCTAAACTGGACTTACTATTGGCTAAAAAAAGTTGAGGGGTGTGTCGGTGGCCGGGAATCATACCTGGACTTCTCGCTGGTGTGTTTGACGAAGATTTCACCGTCGATTCACTGACGTAGGTTCGCATATTGATATTCAGGCTAAATGTTGTAGGTTTAGGTGAATTAAAGACATAATAAAAGCCATTGTCTTTCTCATAAATGATGATGTTAGATGGCATAGAACTAGATTAACAGAATGCGAATGTTGGATTAGTAGAAGGGACAGGACAGATGAAGACATTTCAGATGCATTGCGTGTTAGACAGATCAATTTCCTTGTCAAAGGTTGAACACATAAACAATTTGTTTCACGTTTGACCACGGATTGATATATCAGTTAGAGAAACACTGAAAACTAGAGAGCACTGGACACAGTTGTTTCGTCCTAGTTTGGGACTCGTCGGCAGTAGGTACCCGTCGGGTTTCGAACCCAGGACCTACCGGTTACAGGGCGAAACAGTTGATCAGTACTCCCTGGTTTTCACTGGTTCTTTAACTGTTATGAATCCATAGTCAAACTTGATAGAAATGAAATCTGTACAAATTAATACTTATATAATTATATCTACTGTTTTCATTGTTATTCATGTTATCAAACAGATCACATGTAAAGTGATCGTAAGATTTTTGGTCTTTGAAACCCGACCGACAGCTGCTACCTTGACGTCATGGTTGGGCTTGGATATCTCAATGACCCACCAAACTACACCGACTGGAACTAATGTTCCTACAAATCTTACCATGCCAGAAAGGTCACTTGTATAACAGTTAGCGTACTAGTGTAAGTTGTTTACACTGTGTTATGTGTCTGAAGTCGGAGTCTCGTACTTTTGGAGTGTAGGAATGTAACAGCAGTAAGGCCGTTAACCTCAGATGACCAGCAAGCCTACCTATTCTGCCTCTCCCCTCTCATTATTTCTCTAACTGGCAAAGCTCTGTAGCAGGTTGTAAGATGTTAGTACGTGCACAACTCCAGAAAACCACTTCAAACAGTTCGTGTGTATGTAACCAGCCTCAGTCGGCTCTTCTTTGAGTTTCGCGGTCATTCAACACTATTTCCTTATCTGTTTCAAGTACCCCAATAAGTAATCCACTTCTCCGATGTTGGCGACATGAAAGTGACGACCGCCCTCCCCCACATACCTCAGTAAGCCCACAAAGCTTTCGCAGGGTGAATTTTTGACTCAAACTGCGCATAGGTACCATATATATTAATGTATTTATATAATTCTTTGTATGCAAGTGGAAACTGCTCTCAATGTTAATAGGGCTGAGATTAAAAAATCACCACGTAGACGAAGGAAGGTACACCCATTATTAACCTTGGAACGTTCAATCAGAGCAAGATAGTGTAAAGCCAAAGCAAATAATAATGCATGTCGGTTGAAGATAATCAATCAGTTGACGAGAAGTACAGAACAAATGGTATATTATGGATTGTTAATAGTTGACTTCAGTGGGGGTGTGGGGACGTAGGAAACTGTACATTCTTTCTGATTGGAATCGTTTGTGCATATGAAGAACCAACGGTTCATTGTTAAGGTACATAATGGACACCAAGAGATGCATTGCACAAAATCTCATAGTTTGTGCAAGGCCTGGCTTTCTGTCCGGGCACGCAGATTAGAGCAGGTGGTTGTCTTAAGGGACCACATGTTGAGCTTGTGAATTGAGTTCTTATTCACAAGGCAGTGGAGGAGCAGCTACGTCCCCATAGTTTCTAGTGACTGAAACACCTCCATACGCCATTGGCATTTTGCAACCCTTATACACCTTAGGTTTTCAATCAGGGTTTACAAACTCTCCCAGGCGAACCTGCATATCCAACACGAGTCCATTTGTAAGCTCCAACCAGACGTTCCAGTTCACCCTTTCAATGAAGTTGAATGCAAATTGTGATTTATACAACTTTAATCTTTACGTTACTTATTTTTATGCTTTTGTTCTTCTTACAACTGCAGAATAATCCATATCATGATCGTTTGGTTTCAGTACTAGCTGCTGAAATATTGAAAGCTCCACAATCCGCTGAAGCAAAACTATACCTACGTATGCTTTCTCAATTACGTCCATCATCGGATAATGTGGAGGCGCATAGAAAATTATTGAAACTTATCGACTCGATGTCAAAGGTTAGTTAATTATAAGATATTATTCTGTTCAGTTGTGTGTTGTACAGAGAAAGTGAGTAACAGTTTATGCAATTTGCTGTGTAATGTATGCTTGTGAAGTGGTCAAACCCAAACATGATGATATCAATTCATGGTTCACATAGAGAGAGATGTAGATAAACACACCTCTGCGTCGGTGGCGCAGCGGTTAGGACTCTCGCCGACCATGTACATGGTCCGGGGTTCGATCCCCTGGCGACGCACACCTGATATCAATGGTCGACCTGCAAAATTTGGGCTACCGATATCACATGCTGAAAATTCCATACTTCTACCAAAAGTACTGTGTGAAATCAATCTGTAATCCAAAAAATTTTTAGAAAAATATCTAGGGTCCTTGAGACGCTTAGAATATTCGATTGAATACTGTTGGCGAAACGGCTTAACTTTTTCGGGTAGCATGTGGGCACAAAGAAATACTCCCCAATTATTGTTCCATGATTCGTGCGAGGGTTGACATATTGTCTAGACGCCCAAATCGGAAAAGAGTCTTCAACTTGAAATCTGATCTACAAGAGAGAAGAATATCGTCAGGAGCACTGCATTGTCTTGGTCGCTTGTGACTAAGTCATGTTCGTACACTATTTGTTCCCGTGTTCACCTACCTGGTGATAAGTGCTGGACATTAGGATCTCACATATTCATTGTTCATTTAAATTATTCTTACACGCTTATGTTATGCTTCATGAAGTGTGGGAATTCAGATGCTGTTCAATTGACGAATTGCCCACGAAAGATAGTGATTGACTGTCTGTCCAAATATTAAAGCCGATCGTCCATATCTTTACAAGTATGATTTGTAGAGATTTGAGTGATTTCAAGTTAGGGAACTATCGAAAACCACCATTGCGTACTACTGGACACTACTTTCGTCCTGATTAAAGACTTTTCAGACGTACTCGGTCAATGACTCTCCCCCGAGAATCGTACTTCTGAAGGGTTTCAAATTGGCGCGAAACAGCTGGGTTTCAATAGGCTAGAATAAATGGCTTGTTTCATTTAAGAAGCAATGAATAGTTATTGTCCAATCAATGGGTTTATATTTATGTGAATGTGAGCTCATGCCCTTTTTTCTCAAAGATTCCACCATGTCTGTGTGTGTGTGTGAAAGCGCGAATGCGAACGTATGGGGTGCTTACAACCGGACTGGTAGAGGATATGCAAGTCTAGTACCCAGTAGTGAAGTTGGAAAACTCTAATTCCAAACTTATGGCGTTAACACGAACTCGAGAGTCCCAGGAAAGTCGTACGAGACATATGAATCTGTTTAGGTTACCGGCCAACATTGAACCGTAGCCTCGCCTAGCGCTGCTCCACAACCTTGTGGATCAAACTTCAAGTTAAAGACCATTAGAGTTGGTCTTGGCGTCCTGGTCAGTAAGTAAAAGTAAGTATCCCAACCCTCCCTCGCACAAACTTTAAGACAACAATTTGTGTGCCGCATCTGTTGTTGCCAATAATGTGTACCAAGTTTGTGTTTTTTATTGTCTGTCGATATCTATATGTTCACATCCTTTTGTTTTTTGACAGTTTGCTGACAGATCATTAAATCTTATGCTACGTCGTTTTCGTAAACAACTTGTCGAGAAAATGCAACGTCTTGGCATTGATCCCACGGCGCAGTCGAATAAAACAATTGATACTACAGACAGTAGTAATTTTGATGTTGTTGACAGGCAGTTAAATCATTCTCTGAATAATAGTAATAATAATAATGGCAATGATGAGAATGTGGAGTCTGAGGAAGAAAGTCAGCAACATCAGCCAACATTACTTGCTTCTGCAAGGGTTAACTTTCATGTGTTGGATTCAACTGAACCTAAAATAGATAGACAGCATAATGCAACGATGGTATTTGGACAGCTAAATAGAACTCTGGCAGCGAATATTACTACAACTTCATTTTTAGGTAAGTTTTGTAGTTTTTTTCCTATGTAGGTGACTACTCTTTGGAATCAAGAGCGTGATTCCACTCCATCTCCATGTCTTCCCATATGTTTGTTGAGCATTAGCTTATTGATGGGTGTGTTTTGTTAGAATTCGTTGTTTGCAATGCTTTCTGACTATTTCAACTCGCGAGCATGGAGCGTAGGTAGTTTGTTAAAAATGCTATTCATGACGCGTCGAGTCTGTTAACCTCAGAAGAACTGACTGATTTGCCATTAGTGTTGGAAATTCAGATCTTGTTTTTTTTTGTGTTGACTGCAGCAGATTTCCACACTGCCTTGCGATTAATGATCTGGCCTCTGATATCCTCATCTGTGCCGCCTGTAGTTGAAACGGTGTTGCTGAAATACATGAAAGAAATTACCTCGTCCAAATTTCTTCCGTCGATAGTGATTGGTGGTTATCAGGTGTCTTTGTCACCTCTTTCCTCGCATTCTGTTCACTTGAAGTTCTGTGTCCGCTGCTTCTCCTGCCAGCTTTTGTTGGTTTTCACCTGTAGATCTTCGAATTTTGGTGTTATATTAGACATAATTTATCGGCAAAGTTCAATCTCTAAAGTCCGTATATCGGTTCAACGTACACCCGTCTTCTCGTTTTTCAACCACACACACGATCTGTTGCCTGATTCAGCCCGCCGCAATCAAGAATATCATTGGTGATAGTAAACAGCCTTGTCTTACTCCTGTCTTCATTTCAAATGCTTCATTGAGTTTCGCGTTATCAATCACTTGACATGTGACATTGTCTTGATGTAGCTGCTGTTGACTGAGGTTGATAAAGATTTGGAACCGTTGTTAACGTTGAAGCAGTTTACAAATTACTTCACAGTCAACGCTGTCAAAGACATTTTCGAATTCGAAGGAATTGAAGTAAAGGGTTGACCCTCGCTATTTTAATGCTCTGTTCGTTGATTGTCAATTGCGACGACCAAAGTGACAAATGTGTAAATCCTGTGTGAGATTACAAAGGGGTAGAAGTGTGGGGCTATAAGAAGTACAGTAAAATTGAACTTGTGGTTGATACTGGTCACTTTATATCTTTAGCCTCATTGTTTAAAGTTATCTATAGCTGTGTATATACAGTAAAAGGTTCATTCAACCGCTCCTTCTTCTATATAGTCCTGATCCGTCTGTAATGAATTATTCTTATAGTAGTCCCCTCTCCTACTTTACTCTATATTTTTCATTTTGTTCGTTGAGTATGTAAATAAATTGACTGTTGACGAAATCACAGAACAGATACAAAAACGCCTGGTGTGGGAATTCGCCAACTCACGTCATCTCTGGTGTTGACGTGATATTCGTCTATTGATCAAAGGATGTGTGTACTGCGCTGCACCAGTTCGATTCGTCTTCCTTTATGGCTGTGAAATGTAACCATTGAAAGTAGATATGAAAGGGATAGTTGTCTTTGATCATAGGTGTCTGCGTTCTGTCTCCTATGTTAAGTGATGATATGTTATGATGATATGTTATGGTGATTGATATTGAGGTAAAGCGTAGCGTATTATATAAGGTGAGTCGACTGAGATGGCTAGAACACGTGTTGTAGTTGCCAAACCCCCTGTCTCCGTTGATGAACAATGTTACCTGACATAAGATTTGTACAATTGTAACAACAGAAGACAAGGGCCAGGCAACAGATCGTTTATTAAGGAAAATCAACACATATTTATAGATTTTAATGTACATTATTGTAGATTATTGTTAGTAGAAAATACAGTCTTTTGATTGGTTGTTTCTCACAGAAAGTTAAGCTTGCATCTCTTTGTGGCTGTGTCAGATCATCCATATGCTAACTGTATCCGCCTACGCAAAGCCTTTGTTCTCATTTTCTCATCACCAATATTGGGGACATAAACATTGACGTCAATTACTGTCTACCAACTTTGGCTAGTAGCCAGCTCTCACCACACAATTAGTTTGAGCCATGGGAAGTTTGGACTGGTTGAACTTAAACCTTCTGGCATGGTAGGACCTGCAGGAACAGAAGTTCCAGCCAGTATAGCTTGTTGGGTCATTGCGGTGTTCAAGCCCGACCACCACGTCAAGGTAGCAGCTTTCGGTCCGGGAGGGTGGCAAACAAAAATGGCCTCATCAATCCATGAATCCTGCAGTTACTGAGTCAGGTACGGAGGGAGATGCAGACTTCCGGGTTGGGGCCGCCCTCGGGACTCTAAGAATCAATGGCTGGAGACAATAGGTGACATGGCTCAAAATTGTTGTCAATGGCGCAGATGTATTCAGTTCTGTATATTAATGGACTGGTTGAACTCCGGATGCTTATAACCAGGGTCTAGCTGAAAATTGTTCTTAATGGCGCAGATGCATTCATATCCATTAAACCTTCTTGTTTCTCTATTTTATAATGTCCCTCACATTCCTGCTTATTATGTTTCTTTATAATCTGTTATGTCTCTTTTTTCGTTTTTTCTGTGCTACTTGGAGTGTGTAGCAACTTGGACTTGCTGTACATCCATGTTAAGTTATATCCAGAAAGTCAGTCAGTTAGTCTACACCTCTTCCCAAGATTTTTCACATTCCATGAATTATTCTTTGTATATTACGTAGCATAATTTGTATCACTTGATGTTTAATTATGATTATAATCGTGAATATTTTTAGATGCAGCTATTCAATATCATCATTATTATTTCAAGTAAAATCATATATATATTTATACCATTATACAGCTTCATAGGAAAGGAAATTCGTTAGCGAAAGAGTCTGTTCACTGAATTCTCACTTGTCTTCTTCATCTTTCCTGCATACCCTAAGTGAAAATCCTCCATGAAATACTCTTTCCAGTTGATTGATTGACCTCTCTCTGTTTTCTTTCATTGAACCGAAATGGTCAGTATTTCTCTGTTGACCGACCACTTTTCGGCTTCTAGCAACTAACGAATGCTTTAATATACATGTCTTCAGGTGAAACTGATGTTGCCTAGTTTTATATACATATATATTTCCCGGTGGATAGTGGTGTATTTCTGACAAGATTTGAACTCGGTAGTCAATAGTGACTGAGCATTTCAGTTTTATTACTAAAAACTGGTACCCGTTGCATACGAGTTGGCTTTTGTAGCTCAGTAGCAGCACACTAGTGGATCACTCACTCCACTCACTAGGAATGCATGTGCATCCAACTGACGAATCTCAGATAAGATGAATTGTACATCCTGTGTTCCACACTGCTGCTAACAGACACTATCAACTGAATAAAAATCTCTCACCATTCGATAAACTCTTCACTCTGGTTTACTTGTCCCCTCGGTTAAACTTAGTTATACCCTATGCAAATGTTTTTGATGTTTTTACACCAGACTAAAAGCTGCACTTACCGTATGGCTGCTAATGATTCTACTTAGCTTCCCTAGCTGAAAAGTAGGGATGGGTTTCGAACCCTGGGGCTTAGTGAATAACCTTGTGAGTCACTTTTCCACAATCTGTCTGTTACAGCTAATACACTGAACACCAAGAAGTAATAATATTAATGATAAAATCAGCACTCTACTGTGTAAAAGAAAACTTGAAGCATAGACTCAGGATGGTATATACGCCCGATCGGTGGATATGAGTCGTTGGCTACTCCACACGTCAGCCAGTCAGTCACTTGTCGGCTGTTTCGCTTGTTTGGCGCCTCGTTCATCGGAGGTGAACCACTCGGTTTGACTCAGCTCAGAGAATGGAACTGAATTCTAGCTAGCTACTTGGAAGAAATGGTATTACGTTAAATCACAGTTGTTCGAGGTGAAAGGTATGAAGAGAGGCTAGCAGCTTTCTTTGATTTTTTTAATGTCTGCGTTCTAAGTCTCGTGTCATAGTATTGTAAATACGGTGAGTATAAATGATGAGATTAGCAGAGACGTGCTAAATAAAGAGAGAAGGTCAATCAATGAGATTTTGAAACTGCAGCAACTGCCATGGCTAGAACACATGTCACTGATAAGAAGCCATCAACATTCCTTATTAATATATGTGTAAAACTTGGGCACTGTGGTAGTAAGTAATTCCACATTCGTTTGTTTATTAGATATATCACATCTAATAAACAAACTAATATGGAATCGCCTTTCTTTGTTGGTCAATATCAGCTGATATATGACATTTAGGTTGTTAAAGAGTAAGGGTTGGTCAAACCAAAAAAACCTGGAATCAATCCTTGAAGTCTTTGACTGTTGATTTTGATCCCGTCATGTAGGGAGGGAGGTATAGACTGCCTGGTTGATAAACATTAGTGTCTCGAGGTACTGCACACTGTTGTGCAAAATTCTGCATTGAATTCTCAGTCATTGTAGAATACGTGAATCTTCTTTTATGAAGTATGTTTTTTTTGTATAATTATTATTATTATTAATAATCCATAATGATGAATTGGTTATTTCTATCTATTCCAGATAAATCACATAATATCCTTGCCTTCTCTTCGTCAGATGATGATACCGCCTCTGATATCATACCTGTCCGAAGATCTAACGTTCGTGTTTCACTAGCTAAAAATAATCAGTCAACAAAAACGCCCTCTCGTCAGCAGAAGTCTACAACTGCTACCTCAAGAAAGTCTAAAGTTGTACCTTCTAAATCATCTTCACATTCAGCAGCATCATCATCGTCATCAACTAATCGTAGAAAAGTTGTCGTAGAAATTTCTGACGATGAGAATGACAATGTGAATGAGAGTTCTGACAGCACTATTGAAAATCATCCAATAATAACACGTGATCGTAAAAAGGTACGAAAATCCACACGTGTCCTGGAAACACCTTCACCAGTGTCAGTACGATCGACCAGAAGTAGTAGTGCTAGTAATTGTAGTATTACACGAAGATCCTTGCGTTCTTCTGTGTTAAGGTCATGTAAAAGGCCATAAAAATGTTTGTTTTCTATTTGATATTGTAATTACAAATACATTCTTGTACACATTGTGTATACATACTCAAGTTCTGCATGTTGTATATGGGGATGGTTGTAGGAGTTCAGAGACTTACAACGGTGTGTCTATGCTATCTGTTTATATTTTACTGTTGAGCAAATAGGATTTTGAAGACACTGCTCACCAATAATTCTATTTCCTCGAGTATATATATATATGTGTTTTAAGATTTATTTTTGTTATCCTCAATTTTTTTCCTCATAATGTCTGTTATTTTGTTTTGTGTTTTATAATATACATATAAATTTGGGAGACTATAGAAAATATTCTACTTAAGAGAACTGTGCATTGTTTCTTCCTGATAGCTGGGATGGCTGGGACATTACCTTCCTCGACATAGATTGGAAAAGAGTTAACTGTCGTGGTCAAAATGGAAATCTGGCATCAGTTCATCAAGTCTCTAACAGTTGATTCAGTTTTGCTTAGTGAGGGTGGGGGGGGCTGTGGAAACCCAATGGTATTAGATTTGATGGTGACATCGTCGAACTTCGTACTTAGTGGCTGTAGATACATTCAGTCTTTTTTCCCTCCGTACATTTCTACTCATTGTAATCCTTTTGTCTCTACCCCTGCCGCACTTCTTTGTATAGTTCTATGTTAGAACTTAGCCAGTAATATACGATATGTCAGTGATATTCAGTGGTGCAGTGATAGCCAGCCGTGTAAAAGGGGGAGGTCTTGGGTTCGACTGACTAACACCAACGCATTCTTATACCTCGTCCGGTTCACTACTAGCCGGGGAAAAAAGAAGGTTGAACGTGTGAAGCTGAGAACCCCCATAGCTACCTAGTGACAATTTAAAAGGTTAATAAGCTCTGGGTACCACTCGGATTGGAAAGAAGTTCCTTGAAATAGATAATTGCCGTCGTTTAAAAATTTGTATAAGAATGCATTTTTATAATGTCTCCGTCTTGGAAGTGTACCTGAGACGGGAAGAAAGACATGTTGTCTATTAACACTTTGGTATTCACTAGTGATTACTTTTTTTTAAAATTATACTTCACAGAATATTTTAAGGATGTCAAAGTTCGTTCTTTAGTGTTGCAGACTGATTCACATTGTATGAACTACTAGATCTATTCATATCATTATTATTCTTCATGTAATCTTACGGTTTCCTCAGCTCATTATAGTTCTTTGGAAGCTGTATACTGAGAACTCAGTTAGTTATGAAGGATGGTGTTTTATTTTTGTTGTACTCTGACTCATCCGGAAAGTCTTCTCGAATCAACTGCTCTAGTCAATAATTATTTCATTGATTCACAATTCTCTGTAGGGAATGGATGTAGATATTTCAGTTATGGTATCTGTATTTCATGGTAATGTCCTTAGTGGTTAGAGGAGGTAAATAAGGTCAACACTGAAGTCATCATGGAATGCGGTCATCCCTTAGTCACTTATAGGATTGGGTGCTGGGTAAATCTACTCAATATAGCAGATTTGAGCGTCTATAAATCAGTTCAACTCTCTGAACTTTTCCGAATATGTATGCATCGATTTTGAGACAAAATCTTCCTGTTTGTATCTCATTTTTTATTTCTAGATGAGATCTGATATTGATGTTATATAAGATATGAAGTAAATCAACATTAAAGGCTGTGTAAAACGCCTATAATATTCCTAAACACTTAAGCTGCTGCTTTATGGTTTGTGCTGGCTTGGTTATCAACCACTCCTTAATCTCATTTTTAACGTTGGTTGAGTAGAGCCATCTGTTGTTGAAATTTTTAACCAATATATTTGCAAAGTATGTCACCATTGTCATTTCTGTAAGCCTACTGAATACCATCTGCCAACACTAGATGGACTGACCTCATCTACGTGTATTTGGAATAGAAGTGGGCCTACCTACAAGAAATACTTGGATCAAGTAGCTTGACGAATCTTCAGTTTTAGTCAAATCAACCTCAACCATACTTTAACTGACTCAGTTTTCAACGTAGGATCTTGCACAAAAGTGCAACAGGCTATGTTGCCACACTACATATTACACACGAAATTAATTCAAATGAATTGTAATGAACGGAATTGAATAGGAGAAGGAGGAAGTATATGGGGAATTTGATGAGTCTAGGAATTCATGATGGAGTGAATGCATCTGTACCATTGAGAATGATTGCGAGCTATGTCACCACGCCATACTTATCAGTTCGTTATAAGGTAAGAGGGTGAGGATTATAACGGTTATCCTAATTTTTGCCTTGATATGGAAGCGAAATCTTTCGGGACAACTCTGTGAGTCCTTAACTACCTGTAACTCCATATGCTTTCCTAGACTGGTGTATCAAGACCTTGAACTGTTACCAGTATCATAGCTGTTGATGCCTCAAACCATTGGGAATAGAGTGGTTTCTTAACCTTTCCCTCCAGAAGCGTATTATAACCTTTCTAATTATCCATAAGAGACTATCCACTGGTTTGCCTGACGAATGGCACTAAACTCCGAACTGCAGCTGTTTACTCAAGGAAGATATTAAATGAAAAATATTGCAACGAACATTATGAAAAGCATCCATTGGTAATGCTGAGTGATCCGATTGATTAATCCAGAGTCACTTGACTGCGGTGTTTATTCTTTACTGTTGCTTCCAGGCTGTCGTTACAGAAAATCTGTGCGAGAAGGTGCGTAGTTCCTCGCGAGGCTTAACTTTTAGTACCAGTAGTAACTACCAATAAGCGCATGAACTTGAACGCACCAATCACGTAAAAAAATACGTATTCATGGAAAAAAATGCTACAAAGGATACCTATGGCTGACGTGTGACAAAAGTGACTCCCAATTTTCCATAGGAATACGAGTAGAGAAGTAAAACTACATTCTCTACAAGTGTTCATCTAAACGACTGTAAATAACTTCCTTTTGAGATCCATCAATTGCTCCAGTTCTATTCTTAAACTTCCCCCAAATCAGTTGATGAAATTGGTGTTGGTCCTCGTAATAGGATTCACAAAATCACTAGTGTAGTTTACTCTAACGGGCATGGATGGATTATCCTTGGGTTGACTCGGAGACATTATTACACTAAATGACACATAAGAGTAGTAAAGTAATGCTGTATAGCACAATTTTCTAACGGCTATGTAGCTGTTTTGCATCTGAATTCTGACTGGTATTTCAATGTCAATGTGGGTTTGGTCATGATAGTTTAATTTCGCTTAGTTATATTCTTTCCACCCATCTGTGTGTATTAGAGATCCTCGTTTTTATCAAAATGTTCCTACGAGATAGTATTATCACCAACTAACCTCCCCTCACACCAACTCATCAAAAACGAATTCTACAAAAAGATGAATACATCCACTAACCTATCTTTTGAAGCTTTTCATACTCATGATACCTCCACAGGAACAAATTCTTTCCTATCCAACCAAATTCCACATGTAAGCAGTACTGCAAAACTTGGTCTGCATCAAATTTCATCCGTTAGGCCGTTATAAGAAAATCGACATAGGCAGATTTTCATTGGCTGTTGGCCTCTTATTGGTCTCAAATACATGTTACAGCGGGAGGTTTTTGATTTTCACACGGATAGCAACTGGCAGTATGATAGATAGAACAAAGACTTACCATATTATAATGGCGTGTGAATATTTTTTGGTTTGTGAGTGTAGTGTGATGAGTCACATACTATATGGTTGCATTAGTAGTTTTAAAGGTGTATTGAGACGTCATTGGAGTTTTTGCTGACTGAATATAATTTAACAACAATCTTGAGACATTCATTTCAAGTCCCAAAATAGGATATATATACATTTTTAATTGTTTCATTCTTGAAAATTGTCAGTTCAGTGACCCATGTGATTTGTGCTTACTGCTTGAATATCATTCAACTACGCTCTACTAAGTCATGACAGTGGTATATTAGCACCGAAGTATTCCTTCACGTTCCCAGTGGAACATAGGGCTTCAAGCTACAGGCTTGAACTATCTGTAGCAGTGTTTATTTTTACAGGATGGCGTTGCTAGCCTCATTCCCAACCTTTCCTCTTTACCAGCTTTATTTCTGGCTTAGCGAGGTAAAGGAGTGCGTCGGCCGGGTATCGAACCCCGGACCATGTGCATGGTCGGCGAGCGTCCTAACCGCTATGCCACCGACGCACCACTATATATAATCATTGTGCTGCATCGTTAAGCATTACTAACGCCATTACATGATGTTTCAGAATACTCTTACTGCCTGTACGTTGTCTTATGTAACGCGTATATTGCAAAGAATAATGCTTTCTTGTATATTGTGGGTGCAGTTTAAGCAAGGTTTTGATGGATTTATGAAGGTAATGACTAACTTGTTCATTATTTCTTTAGAGGAAATCAAACACATGCTATCAGCTGTATAAGAGACAGTTACGGCTCTATGAGTATATGCGCTTTCGGAGTCCACCGTGGTACTAGAGGTTCTGGCTTGAGGAACAAAGAGTAAGTTGGCTGTGCATATAAATTGTAAAATTTTTAAGGTCCAACGGTATTTCATGTCAATTAACAGTTACAGTATGGCATACACCTGAAGGATACAAGATAGCAAACTACAAAACTGTGCATAACCATCTATGCACAGCAAGTTTCATATCTACCGATGTATCTAGGCGTCGGCTGCCTTCAGAGGAAATGACAGTTGTGCAACCGTTTATTGAAAAGAACACTAATGTCTATGAAAAAATCGATTTACCACATGAGAGATTCGGCAGAGTTACCCTATATGATGATATTAAGAATAAATATAAGTCGTAACAAAATAAATAGGGCATTAGAATATAAATCGGTAGTTTAGAAGACCTTCTTTATCGACAGAGGCAGACAGGTCCAGTTAGTGTTCTGCAGGACAATGTAGGTTTTGTATCGAAAATCATTTTCGCTCGTAGTGATATGATAGACCTCTATCATAAGTTTCCAGAAGTAGTTGGAATTGATTGTATTTACAAAACGAATAAGATGACAT